AACGAGGTTACGTTTGTTAGCTTTAGCTGCGAGTTGTTCACCCGCTTGACTCATTACTGTCCCCAGCGTTTGTCCTGGGAACGTCCCTATCGCAACTCTCTTGTCGCCTTTCACCCTTTCTTTGATTGCCGCTGCGCATCGGACTAAATTTGAGTCACCGGCGATGATGACCTGTTCAGACATTCCTTCTGAAACCTGCACCTGGCTGCCGACTAGGTGACTAGCGTGAGTCACGGCTGCTGGTTTGCTCCCTCCCTCCCTCAAAACTACTTCCCGGTAGCTGGGCCCTGTGGCCAATGTATCTGCCTTTGTCATGCCTGTTTCCCTCATCTCTCCCGCACGGGGGGTCGTCGCCATAATGCTTCCGCCGTCACCTGCGTCTTCGTTCCCCTTCACGACCTTCGATAGGCCTTTCTCGGCTGCCCGGAGCCTTTCCTCCATGGCTGACGTTTTCTCTCGCTCCTTCGCCAATGCATTCTCCAGCTCTGCGATTTTCTCCATGAGCCCACTCTGGACCGCCATCATATTTTTCATTTTCTCCTCGAACTCGCACTGTCTACACTTGGTGTCATCTTCTGCTTTCTCTTCCGCACTAATTTCCACCTTCCTCCCTATCCCGCACTCTGAACACTTTACGGTCTTTTTGACCATGGCTAGCTCAGTTTACCGATGCCCACGTGTTAGAAAACTGTACTAAAATACACTGGTCTAAGCCAAAAAGAACCACAATAATAAATAAATACGCTACACTTCACAGCACCTGCGCATGCACGTGGTCGGTCTACGCGCAGGCCTCAGCCACGTGGTGGCTGGAGAAAAAAAAGACACAGTACAGAATACTAAAAAAAAAAAAACGTACACCGTACTAGACCTAATCAAGCTTTACGCTAGCGCCTTACGTTCTCATAACGCTACATACAGAGGCAAGCTGGAAACATGCAAAAACACTTATCTGTAGCTGTCATTCCGGAGCTCTCCAAAAACACGTCCGACCTCGACGAAGGCGCCTCAGCAGAAGGCTACATACAGGAGACGGTATTGCCATCTAGTGAACACTGCAAGAACTAAACTAGAGGTGGCTACATACAGGGGACGGTACCGCCATCTAGTGAACACTGCAAGAACTAAACTAGAGGTGGCTACATACAGGCTACGGGGGACGCACAGCCCACGCCCTAAGGAGCTTCGCCCCTAAAAAACGACAGTGCACACATATGTCCTACGAAGAGAGGGTATGTCAACGTAATCTCGACGGATAGCACACTCCTATTTCTTTCTTCGGTCGTACTTAAGAAACGAGAAAGAACACTCGCATCTTCGGTTCATAACCGTAATTGCGTGACAATTCGGCACACAACGTCTGTCACCCCACCGCGCAGATTTGCAGCCGCATACGCTATGAGAATATCCTGCGCACAAAGCGCATCACATATCCACGCAGCAGTTCCCGGACACACACACACACACACACAAAAAGAACACGTTCTCGAGTCGCCAACAAGCATACCAGCACGCCACGAAAACGTTCGTCAGGCTTGGCAATTTATGTGTGCCGAGCGACGAGAGCAAGCGTACAGGCACGTCTTTGATTGATATGTGGGGTTTAACGTCTCAAAACCACCATATGATTACGAGAGACGCCGTAGTAAAGGGCTCCGGAAATTTCGACCGACCACCTGGGGTTCTTTAACGTGCACCCAAATCTGAGCACACGGGCCTACAACATTTCCGCCTCCATCGGAAATGCAGCCGCCGCAGCCTGGATTCGATCCCGCGACGCGCGGGTCAGCAGCCGAGTACCTTAGCCATTAGACCACCACGGCAGGGCGCGTCTGCGCAGCGAAACACGGCGGTCTAAACGGAGTGACGTCAGAGCCCGCGGCAGAAACAGTGAGCAGGCCTGAAATCATCTAGGTGACATTATAATGACACCTGTGACGTCACGTGCAAGCTATATTATCTGAATGCGGTCGTCACGGCCGGGAATCGAACCTGCGGCCTCGAGTTGGTCGCTCGCTGGATTCCGTGCCGACCGGTTGTGCCCTCGCGATCTCCGACGTCAGCGTAGCTCTGGCCGACTGGGCTCGCCCTACGTCATCTCCTGACGCCGATCTCCGACGACAGCGTAGCTCTGACCTACTGGACTTGCTCTACGCCATCTCTTGACGCCGACAAGAGCTCTCGCAAGTGGTGGCCCGTCCTCGGACTCCTGTGACCGTGTTTCCATCTTTCCTGTCTCTCCTATCCCCTCGATATGTCCTCGCTCGCTGTCCCAGCACATCTTTCTCTCTCTCTCTCTCGCTCTGTACCTTTTATCCTATCCTTTTAATCCCTCCCCACCCCCATTCCTTGTGAGCTACTGTTGAGGTGTCGCACCCTAATGCAGACAGTTACGGGGCTCACTTTTCTCTTCTTTTCCCTCTTATAAACAAACACTCCCCCCCCCCCCCCCCCCGCTCCAGTTCTACAGTGTCGTAGCCATTCATGTCGGCAAAAGCTGTGGACGTTCCTCAAAAACGCCATAACAAACCAGCGCTTCAACACTAAACAATCTGAAGCCCACCCTATTCATTGCTTCGTCGAAATAAGTTCGACTAGGACCCTCATTCGGCGAATTCTTCATGACAGGATACGTTCCGAAATATTCCGTGTTGATATGACCTTTGATTTGACGACGCGCTCACAAAAAACCTACACGCTTAGTGAGCGTAGTCATTTATCCTACGCGATGCTTAAACAGGCAGCGATCTACAACTGCCCACGGAGAAGAGCAAGCTGCGCTTCTCCCTATCAAAACTCGTCCGGGCATAAAAATGACAACTTCGACGTGTCACAGTCGCTAACTTTATTCGCGCCGTGGTCCCCCTCAGGCGGATCGCAGGAACCAACCAAATGTTATGGCAAGCGTGACTCCTCCTTGCAAAACCTATTAAAAATAACCACAAGAGACCACGCTTGCTCATTCGCCAAGCGATCAAATAGTATGGTCTTACGATTAACACCGACAATCCCGCTAACCTCTGCCCATCAGAATCCGATGCACGCAACATAGTTCCGTACAGCGCACACACAGCGGCAAGTACTGCAGGTCGCATCCGCGTGCACAGAAGAACGTTGCTGATTTATGGACGCGAAACGAAAAATACCATCTTCAATTAGGATTTACAGCCTGCATAACAAGTTAAAGCGAGTCAACATTTTTTTTTTTTTTTTCATGCGATTACACGTTCAAGCATTACCGCGCCGGCTCGGGCAAGCCATCATGGAGGTAAAAGTCGCTGGCGCGATGAAACGTGGTGTTGCAAATTAACAAAGCATATATAGTAACCGCACAGATGCCTACGCCAACCAACACACTTGGAAGCCACACTTACGAGAACATCTTTAATAGGAGCCATTGTTAGACAGAAAAGTCACTACGGAACAAATGATAGCTGAATGACGAAACAAATCACGATGCCACCGAACATTGATTGTGTCGCGTTTTTTTTTTTTTCTATCATGAATCTTTGGACGCGACAACTAATTTCTAGCCTCGTTCAGGAACGCCGAAGACGACGTCCTGCTGTCACATCGCAAGCAGGAATACGGTAGTCAGCGGCCAGGGAAAGAAAAATCTACGGAGAGGGAAAGTTTTTAGTCGTGAGAAGGCTTTCGTTAGGCGGCAATCTCAAGTGTTCTTACATAAGTAGCCTTTTATCAGCGCAAGCACACGCCCACGAAGTAGGAACGTCTCACGTAGGTGCAACGAAAGTATTAGGACGTCCTTGAATAAAACACACAATAGTTCCTGCATGGCTTCCTTCGTTCGTGTCTTTGCTCAGCCAAGACAGATCATCTAGTTCATTTTTATAAGTTACATTAAATGGTGACGCGGAAATCAAGGTGCATCAGTCTGTTCTTCTTTTCCGTAATGTAATACAGGCACTAGACAAATTGTGGTGAGGTAGGGGAAGCAGCTGCGAACTTTAATAGCTACAGTCAGCGCTTACCGATATCTGGCCTATGTACAGATTTACAGGTCACTCGGTTATTGCTGACAGGATAAACGCGACTACCTCTATATAAAGCGAATTCGATCATATTGACAAAAGAGGCATAATTTATCAAGCGGCTAAAGACTGGAACCGTTTGTGCCGGCAGTATTTTACGAGCTTCAGCGAAAAGAAGGATGAGCCGCACGTCAAGAAATCCAACGAATTCATGCGATATGTGACTATGCCGCCGGCTTTTTCTCCGTCCAAACCCGTTGGCTTACATCAGGTTTCACACCACATTCGGGACAGAGAAAACGAAACCAACGGATAGTGTAATGGCTAGGAAAAAAAAAAAAAGATTCGCTTCTCAAGACACACGTCAACTACCTGGCCGGAGCATACACACAATCCCTGTAACTAAACTTGTGAAAATTCTGTTGCGTTTTCAAGGACGTTACACGCAACTTAACCAAGGTGGAAGGGTCACCGTCGTATAAAGCGGGCAAGCGTGCCTTTCACATTCGGCATCGGTACTTCGGTTTTATGCGCGACAGAATAAGTCACCAAGTCCAAGAGCGAAATGGGATTGAATGAACGGTTGCCCCATAGCGGAAAACGCTGAAACCACATATGATAGACACAATGCACACGCTGATGTACTTAACTGCGGTTCGTGTGAGAACGTGCGTATTAAAATATTACATCACGCCCGTTTTTCTTATTTGCTGTGAGGTGACGCGATTGGGTAATGAAAGTCGTCTCACTGGCCGTAATATTGCCGTGAAACAGTAAGTGTGCAGACAATATGAACTTGAACTACTCTTTGCTCCAGGATGACGACGAGTGATGGGACAGTAGTGGTGCACGCGTGCCTCTTCCAAACGCGGATATAAAAACATGCAAGATTCGCACTAGCATTCAATCTCACCAAGAGGTCTGCCAAGACTTTGCCCCAAGAGGAAGAAACACAAGCGCGGCCGGCAACGCGACTGACCCAGAATGACTACTGCAGGCGACACTTACCGGGCTTCTGAAACATGACGAATATAGTGAAGAAAGGTGCTGCAATCACAAATAGCGCGACGTAGAACGGCACTGGCCTCCTCGGGAGCATCGTGGGTGCTGCCGATGTCTGTTTGTTGTCACAGTTTTCCACCACGCACGAAAGAGACGTCGAGGGGCGGCAGCGCTCGCAGCAGCGTGGGTCCGCTCCAAGTAGCAGCACTCACACACACAGCGTTCCCACGAAGCCGCCCGGCCTCATAGTCGCACAGGCACGTGTTCGAACTGGCGCCCTGACGTACAAGCACAGACATTTAAAACACAGCACTGCGTCAAGATCCTCCAGAGCTCACATGCCGCAACAGCTGCTGTGGCAGAGCACGACATACTCCACGGTCTCCTCAGTTGCTCGATTACAGCAACATCAGTGGATACTTGCGCCGCTTGCTACCACTTGCAACGATCGCAGTTCCCTCGAACACCGCCAGGAGACCGAAACCACTTCTGACTTCTCTGCGCAGCTAACAGATGGCGCGGCATCTGCAGCAACTTTTCCTGTCACATCGCCGCTCGTCGGCCGCGTCTTTCGAAACAGGCTCCTCGCATTGTTATTGTACTGACGAACTTCGGCACAGCAATATCCTTGAGACATTCAAATTGAGTACCTCTTGTTATTTTATGCATTGAGGCCAGTAGTTCAGCAAGCGGTATTGATTGCGTTTATTGTGCGTCATAAAATACGTTAATCAGGTGCGTAGTCAGAAAATTTTTTCGGAGGGATGGTGGTGGAAGTGGTAGTCGTGTTTATTGTCAAAATGACGCTTAATTCTACAGCCCAATAGGGGAAACGGCGCAGCGTCAGGAAAGTGGAAGCGGGAAATAAAGGGGGAAGCAGAAGAAGGAAAGAGAGCGGAAAGATGACTTTTCTGTATATTCCAGCGTGTGTTTGTATGTGAGAGGGAAAGGGTTGAGCCCCTAGCAACAAAACATCCCCCCCCCCCCACACACACACTTTCTACGCTAATGAAAGAGCTGCAGCAGTGCTTATAACTTGAAGACCTTACATGTGCTAACAAGTGATTTCCAATCAAAGAAATAAAGCAGTTCGATTAAGTAGAAATCATACCACATGTGAAAAATAAATAAACAAGTATAACTGCGCAACAGCGTACGACGGACTTGTGCAGGGGGATAGAGAAATTTGCTAACTTCCAGCTAAGAAATTATAGACCTACTTGGAACAAGCAAGGTCCGCCATCTACATTCATTGGCCGACCACCCTCTGCTAAACTGTTTTTTTTTTTTCTTTTTTTGCACAACAGGCTAAAAAATAGCCAAGTTCTTGCAACTAAATAGGAAAGCACCAGGGTTGGGTATTTGCAGTTAGATTTCCTATGGTTATATGTTAATGAACTTGACTGAGCATATCCTGATGTACTATGTATTAGTTTCTCAGTAAAAATGAACATCTGTGTTGTGCATGAACATTTGAATTATATTTTATCCACATCATACAGTTCGGCTAGAGCAAAATTGGCAAAAGTGCATACTGCAGCGCTCCTACACTAATGATACATCGTACACAGGAAAAAACAGTAAAACTACAACTTTTATCAAAAGCAGCCACAGGTAATGGCTCCATACAGGCACTCTGAAAGTATTTCCAGTCACCAAAAAGCACTGAGCAGCTATAAAACAAACTGAGGTTGACCGTCAAACATGACTAAATGCCACCTGTTTCACTTAGACGAACAGTTTTCTACAGACAGCAGAATATTTTGTTTGGCTTGAAGCCAAGCAGCCCACCCTATAAAAATAATGTGGAAGCTAGCCACCACTGTATTGATGAAATTCTTGTAGGCACAACGAAATGACTCTAAGATTCTTGATCTACTCACATGAAGTGATGTTTAAAATCTTCAACCTTTTCTGTTTTGGTAAGTTAAGCAGTCCCATGAAAGAACATTAAATTTGCTCCTGTTTTACCCCTACAATAAACTCTCAGCAAACAGAAATCTGTTAAATAGAACTGCTGTTTCAATGAAACTGCCTCTGGCACGATTGGTTTCGTACATGGATTCTCCACTCTTCTTCATCTCCCAGTAATCGAAACTCCTGTTAAATGAAACACATTTTCCTGGTCCCTTCACGTTATGTCACACAAACACCTTCAGGTCTGCTAGAGTGGATGGTCATCACACCACCTCTCAATATTTAATTGCACGACTCCACCAATCACACATCTAGTAATGACTCGAATGGAAACTGATCTAACCCTGATCATTCTGAATATGATGAAAGTCAGTCCAATTTTGCTTTTTGAATATCCTTTAATATCACATTTTTGCAATACAACTCAAAACTTTTCCACGGGCACTTTCACAATGCTATTCTGTTGTTCTTGCATCACATTTCTTAGCAGCCACACATATAATCATTATTTCCTGCCCCTGGCCACATTGATTGATTGAAGAAATGTCTTGTTTCACTCACACAATAGCTTACAATAGAATATGTTTCACACTTATCTTTTATCTCTACCACTCACAACTGCACAAAAAGGAATCTTTGTGCAAGTATTGCAGATCATAATGGATTTGTAAGCAGCCTTAACCACAACCTAAAGCACTAAGACTTGTGATTCATGCATAATCTTTTATCGTCTCCTGAAACATTGCACTTCATACATAACATGTACTGATTTAGTTTCTTTTCTCCACTTGTACATGTTAAGAAATTGTGTCACTTCGTTCATTATGTACCAGTTGCTTGCAGTCAGGGTAGGTGCCGCCACAAATATTGGGTGCACTATGCATATAATTAGCAAGCAAATTCTGCTGCCATGCCTTCATTTAATATGGTCTTGCATAAGTGCACAGCATTTACAGCAAATTATACGATGTCAAAGAGAGATTGGAGCTAGAGAAAAATCCCAAAGATAAACTGGCACCAGCCAAGGTTTAGCCTAGTCCCAATGTTTTGGGTCCTATTTGGTTCTTTCCTCAGAGATTAACTGGACCTGTCACAGGGACGGCACGTTTCCTGCAGGTAATTTTAGCCTCCTGAACCCTGTACCTATCCACCGACATGTGCGTAAAAAAATTACATTTATGTTGAACAAGAAGCCACTGTATACTCTGGAGCTCAGAGGCAGAGTGTACCCGTTTCGAGCTATAAATCCTCGGAGAAGCTTTGTGTGTTCTGTCTCAAAGGTAGTGCCGTACTTTACTGGCATCAGTGAAATTGCGCTGAGAGTCGATCGGTGGCAAATTCAAAGGTGTAGGCAAACATGTGGCAGAACAATTCAAAGCTAGAGGTTGCAATATCTCAGGTACTATCTGATTTCGCAATAGCATTAGGACTTGACACAAAGCAAACAAAAATTAAGTTTTTGTTACAATGTAACAGTATAACAAATAATAGAAAGAAGAAAGAAAGTTTTGGTGAACACATCAATACTACATTATAATATTTTAAGCAAGCCGCAGTGCATGGGCATTCTATAAAGATCTGCCCTTACAATTAGAAATTTATGATAGGTGGGGTTTAACGTCCCAAAACCACCATATGATTATGAGAGACGCCATAGTGGAAGGCTCCAGAAAATCTGACCACCTGGCGTTCTTCAACGTGCACACAAATCTGAGCACTTGGCCTGCAGCATTTTTGCCTCCATCGAAAATGCAGTTGCCGCAGCCGGGATTTGATTTCACGACCTGCAAGTCAGCAACCGGATACCTTAGCCATTAGACCACATTTTGAAATTAGTGCAGGATCGATAGCCAAATAATGGCTCTGCAAGATTACAAGAACTATAACACAATTAAGCTAGGTGTAGGTACACAATGTCTCTTACATAAAGAGGTTTTTGCCAGGTCATTATGTGAATCTTAAGAAACAATACAGAAATTTAAAATGTTAAATAATATCCCTGGAGCTAATGAAACAAAGAGTATTTGTGTAAAAGTAGCTTTGAGAAAGCATGTTGTTCCTCAGCATTCTAGACTGAAATTACATGCCACTTACTTAGCCCCATCATTAATTGAGACGGATAAGTTGCCTGACCAGCGAACATGATAAACCATGCCAGCGGTCTTGTCAAGGCCAATTCTTTGCACTTGTACTAGCACAATAAAGCTATTCACACTATACACAAAGAACCATTCATGCATAATATATGTACAAAATTGGTTCGTCTGCACTATGCATCCTGCCTTCTTGTTTTGGCAAGGGCTATGCTCAAAGCCCCCTTGGATTTATCACATGCAACAGCCTTTACACAACAAGCTGTAGGAGGTGCAAAATCATTGTCCATTCTTTGCCTAGGAGTTTTCACAGTTCTATGAAGTGACTGAGCTTTGTGGTGAAGAGCCAGACAGAGAGTCCTGTAGTTGTTGACCACTAATGTGCTTCTGTTTCTCCGTGGCATCGACCAATTTCTCTGCCTGGGCTTTGGGGGGTGGATGCCTCTCTTCGGGCTCATCTTCTTCATCGACAGCATAAAACACCGTGTTGCAAGCTGCGGGTAAGAGCAGTAGAGAGAGTCGTAAACATAGCCCTTGAACTAATTAGTGCCATTGCTTCGAAGGTATAATGCTGCAGCCGAAGCTAGTGATATAATGAGTTACATTCAAAGTAAGTCAAGTGCTATTGTTTTTCATTCTCTATTTAAATACTCTAAAGATATGTGCCAAGAAAAAAGTGAAAAAAATTATACAAGAGCTACAAATCAAACTTGTCTTTGTCAACGAGGTCTCCTTCGTATTCGCTTCGTCTGCATGATTAAGACCTAAAAATTCTTATGGCAGCACCACTAAGGCAAACATCGTTTTTTTTCTTTTTTTTTGAAGGCAGATCTCGACGCCTGCTCGTCATGGCTACATAGAATTAGTAATTACAACAGGCACATGAAACTATAAACATATTGCAGCTCACCTGAGAATGCTGCTGGGTACTGCTGTGCCAGTTTCATCTTTAAGAACCTGGGATACGAGAAGAAAAAAAGCACAATACACTGTTTAGTTTTTTTTTTTTTTTCTGGACGCACGGACATAGGCAAAACTCTCTTACGAACCTAATTCTCTTGAAGACAGAATCCAAGTCTTTCTTGAGATCAAAGAGAAGCTGCGTGTGCTTTTTCAGGTCTTGGCTAGCAACGGCGAAGCGGGTTGCAGAGAGCGCGTTGCAATTTATCAACATCTCATTTGTCTTTTCAAGTCTTCCAAGCCTGAAATTTGCGGACCCAAACGCGACGTTAATGCAATGCAGCACTCTGCCATGCACGCTTCTCGCCGCTGGGTAACATAGTAGCAAATCTATTTATGTAGCTGCGCCGCAACGACTAAGCAAAAAGCATACAATGAATCGAGGCTGCACGTCAATTCAGTAGTGAAAGCACCGCTGACGGGTGTTGCACAGTTAGTTTAAAACCGTATGTATATCTGAGCCATGCATAGCTATAGTACTTACACTTGCTTCTGGCATTGTATAATCGACTGAATGTCGTTATGGTTTACTTGATTGGCCAGTGCATGAGCAATAACATCTGCAGCAGGCGACGCACAGCAGCTGAAGTCACCGTGCGCCATGTTTACATAACAGTTGCCAAGCCAGCCATGAAACCAATGTGACAGTCAAGCCAAGTCAAGCCAAAAATGTTTTGGGATTGGAACATGGGATTGGCTTTGGAATTTTACATAACATTGGTTACCAAAAGTATGGTCCCTAGAATACCAAAAGTACTTCAGTGATTGCAGCAAAAAAGTAGGTTTAAGAGATGTCACCTAAAAAATAAGTAGTTAGTTGTAGCCGTCTATCGTTATCACGTGTTTACTGCTAGCTATTGCTGCTATTTGTTTCTCTTCGGTTTCGATTCCAGCTACCGCGTCACAGTATTTTAGAAATTATGTTTTCCCTGCTTGTTATGTTACACTCCAATGAAACATAGCAAGCTTAAAACATACAAAACTCGAGTTAGTTGTAATCATGAGTTTATTGACAAGAAATAGAAGGCAACAATCGAAGCAGAGGGCGTTGCACGCCCTAGGTGTCCACGTCAAGTTAAATATGCGTGGTGAAAAGCTTGTTAAAAGAACCTATCATTTACCATACTTCCATACATCACTGCACCAATACCTAACAGAATATTTAGAAGTTCTTCGATAATTCAAGTTGTGGCGTGGCCGTATTATGCGCACACAAGAATGCGACATGCGCCCATTATCGGTTTGTTCGTAACGATTGGGGCGCAAATTGTGAGTATGAGAGTCTAACAAAGCAGTGATCATACAACGTAACCTGAAAAAAGAAAAAAAAAAATCTGCAAAAAAATTTGACCCGGACGTGATTCGAACACGCAACCTTCTGATCTGGAGTCAGACGCGCTACCGTTGCGCCACCGAGTCAGATGTCCGAGGTGGGGTTTAAAGGCAGTTTTGTCAGTTCAGCAAGGTTAGATTTTCGTATTTTAAAACAACTGACGAGATTAGTTGATCGTTCAATTGAAATAACTATGGTGATTATACCGCTGGCGATCTAGCCTTCACATAGTCATGTGGTGTCACATAAGCTGGTGAATACACATGGTCGCTTTAAAAGTTCTTGTGGTGCGCTGGGGTTTTCCGGCTACAGCAAAAAAGACCACCTGTTCGTCTGTCGGACTGAGGGCTTGTAATACGTTTGCATTGTCACCTCGAAACTATGCATATGCTTCATTCGGAGCATGATTCACAGCGCTACCGGCCGCTTTCTCGAGGCCACAGAGCACCGAAATCGAAGTGCTCGGATGCGTGTCCACTTAGAACCGCTAGAACGCCAGAGAACAGACAGGAAAGCTCCTATAGGATCTAGAAGTGCTAGACTAAACGGTCGATGAAAAACGCGCCGTTGGAATTTCGTACAGTGGCGAGCGTCGGTAGAACTTTGCCTCAGAGGGCGTCAACCATGTGTTGCATTTGCATCGCGGTGGCACTGGGGAGGGGCAAGCGTCGGTGTAGTTACTATAGCTGTTGTACTTAATCATTGTGTCAGGATTTGGCGTGCACGCAACACGGGCACTAGAACAAAGAGGCACACAGACGCCGACTTTCACATCCTTTCGTCTTTTCTATTTTTTCTTTCGACCCCCTGCTCGTTTGCCCTGTTAATAAGACTGTTGTTTGAGCACTGATGTGAACTAGAGTCACTGTATATGCTACCATTAAAGGGCATATGTTGTTACTCTACTGTGAACTAGCCAGAGTCTACTTAACTTCCGGTTCAGCTAGGCAAAGTTGCGCAGAAGCTACTAAAAGCAATAGTACGAGACGGCCAAGCAAGTGATCAAATTATGCGACTTGTTAAAAAACCGTTCCATACGCAAGCTCTACATACGAATGCCTCTACATACGCAAGCTGTCCCATGGCCTAAAAAAAAAAAACGCCGCAAATAGGCATCACGCCTGCGTAGTTTGTTGGGCCCTTGACAAGTTAAAAAAGTTATATGGCTGAATCCATCTGGAAACACAGAAGGTCTAAAACGACGACGATTAGCGATGAGTATCACAAGTCCTCCTACGTAGATTGTGCAAAAGGTAGTTTCATACCCTTCTCTTGTGGCCATATCTACGTAGGCAAACAGCGGTGAGTGTCCATGGTTGCAAGAGCACAGAAGAGCGTTCGGACCGAAAGACTGTTTACACATGACACAGCTCGTGCGGTTGCACTCTCATTTTTGTGATGCTATTATTTCTATCAAAACGCTCTGATGAAACGCTTTTCCTTAGGAGACGTGGAGAAAAGTGTGTAAGCGACCCCATAGCCGAACTAGAATTTTTATCTTCCCTCTCTGCTCTCTTTCATCTCCCCCATCCCTCCCCATGAGCAGGGTAGCAAACCGGCTGCCTATAGGCTGGTTAACCTCCTTGCCTTTCTTTTCCCTCTATTTTCCTTCCTTCCTTCCTTCATACCTCATCAGCCGTAAGGCATTGTTTTTGGCGCCTTGTTTGTTTGTCTTCTTGAATTTTGCCTTTTCACTATGCCCTGGGTGAGGGTAGGCAGACCATGCGACAGTTGTGACTGGATATGTAGAGCTGCGTGTTTTCGAATACCCTCCTCATCCCCCCACCCCCAAAATAAAGATAAACACTCGCCGGCAAATTGTTTGGCAATTCGGATTTATCTGATAAGCTCCCATTTCGAGAGGACATTCTCAACATTCAAACGGCATATTCATAACTGACAATCGTCAATCGAAAAGAGCGCACCTGCATCATCGGCAGCAACCTCGTAAAATATATGCTTGCGTCTGATTACAATTAAGATTAAAGGTTGTAATATACCAAGAAACGTGGGTGTTTTGTATTCAAGTATTTGTGCTTGTATGTAAATGTTATTGCGTGTTCAAACTTTCCAGACATCTAAAATACACGTTGTGTGTTCGCATGTTTTCGTGTTCAAATACCACTTCATGTAAGATTTCAGAGTTCAGGGCAATATGATTTACATGATTATAATATGTTTTTATTTTTCGTCGAGAATATGAGCGATGCTGGGAGAAAAAACTGAGAAGCAGCTTAATTGGCTAAACTGATATGTCCCCACAAAATTCAGCTGTAAATTTCACAGTTAAGCTTCAGGTTGATCTTTGGAAGGAAGAGAAATTTGAGTTTTTAGATTAAATTGTATCATGAGGCAAATTACGTATGCTGGGCATACACCCCAAGAAGAAGAAGAAGAATAACTTTATTTATGAAGTCCAGCGAAGTTGATTTGGGGCGGGCCTAGGCGTCGGCCACGAGCCCTTGGGCTCGGGCGGCTTCCTCGGCTCGCTGGACGGCCCACAGTTGTTGTTCGAATGAGGAGCTGAGCAGAGCCCCCTCCCAGCGTGTCCTGCGGTCCGAAACTGCCTCTTCGTGGTTTTCATCGTTGCTTTCATCTAAACTCGAGCATTCCCATAGTATATGTGAAAGTGTCGCCCTTTCATCGCAAACCTTGCATTTTTCTGTTAAATACAGATCAGGGTAACAGAGACTAAAGAGAACTGGATTCGGATAAGTATATGTTTGCAGTTGTCGCCACGCAACTGCCTGTTTTTTATTTAACCTGTTGTGTGGCGGAGGGTACTTTCGCCTTTCTAGCTTATAGTGCTGCGTTATTTCGTGGTAACTAGTCATGCGGTCCCCCCACTCCCACTCCCCCCCGCGTGGAATTTCGTCCGAGGCGGCGTCGGCGTTCGCAACGGCTCGGTTCGTGAGTGCTCGAGCCGCCGCGTGCGCCGCCTCGTTGCCGGCCAGCGGGGTTTGTGTGTGTGCGGGGGTCCATATGACGAAAGTGTCATTTTTTTCCCGAATTTTGTCTTCGTTAGTCATTAGGATTCGCAGCGCCTCTCGGGAGACACGACCGTTCGCATAGTTGCGTATCGCTGCTTGCGAGTCACTAATTACTACTTCGGCCTCAGTGGTCGCCACCGCGAGTGCTATGGCCACCTCCTCGGCCGTCTCGGTCAGTGGCGTTTGCACCGTAACGCTCGTCATGCATGTCCCTTTACCGTCGACCACCGCGGCCACGTAACCACACCTTCGCGCGTATCTGGCCGCGTCCACGTACACCCCAAGCTGAAAAAAAAAAAAAAGGCCTATCTCAGGGTCAATTCAGGGTATACGAATATCGCTAAGATGGGCACTCCTATCTTGTCTGAGTTGTGCCATAAAAAAAAAAGGAATCATTCTTCGATATGAAACAACAGAAAGTTTCACAAATCTAGAAGACTACTCAGAACTGGTTTCAGTCAGCCCGTCTAATGCAAGGTTGCACAGATGCTACTCATTTGTGTCCCTGTACTTATTGATGTATTTTTTCACGTGTTTTATTTTTACTTGCCCCGCCACCCTACTCAATGCCCTACTGGACCCTGTGAGGTCTCATGAACAAATAAATATCGCTGAATTCAGATCAGGTCCAATAACTTTTTTCACCGCCCTGCAAATTGGTGGTATGAGCCTGGATTCCGCCTACATATGCTTCGGCCAAGGGTTGCTGGCCCTTGCGGCTTCCTCCGATCGCTAGTCGGCCAAGAATTGGTGCTCCAAGTCCAAAACGAGCAACGCAGACTCTCACCGTGGGCGGAGGCTGTCGCTGTATGGGTCTGCATCACAGTATTACTCACTATGCCTGAAACTCTCCTCTAATGTGGCTCTAGAGTCGCAATGTCTGCACTTCTGTCGATTATAAATCTGAACGTATTGTACGCCCATAAGAACACGGATACAAACGACTCTGTGTACTCAGGTAGTAACGCGTTTGTAACTGCAGCCATTCGATGGACAGTTCCTAGCTCAATTTCAGGCGAGGTGGGGGGAATGTACGCCTCTGCAATCTACGGTGTGCTGCGATTCCGTGAAATGTGGTCATTCTATCTTCCCTCTCCCACTCGTCAGTATTCTCTGACGCGGGACCTCTGTAAGCCTTCGAGCCTCAGTGCTGCCATCTCATAGTGTGTGAGCAAGATGTCCAAACGAGATGGACACTTTATTCTTGATTAGTATCACGTTTTAGAATCCATGGTGCCTCTGCTGCGAATCACTGACTATTACGTCCGCTTGTGAGTGTGTGCTATGGCTAACGTGATAGCTATTTCTGTAACCGCTGTTTTGAACAGTGACGTCATTGTAGTCATCTGCTTGTTGCGCTCATCGGTCATTTGGTTTCGGTTTCACCGTAGAATTTACAATTTCAATAATTCACAATTATTGCTCGAGCCCGCTTTTACGAAATGTCAAAGCGGCAATGGGTTCCTCGCATGAATGACCTCAATTCTCCAATTCGACTTAACTGCTTCACTCATTGAAAAGGGTTAATTAATTTAGCTTTATAATTACCGTAATTACTTCTCTAAATAATATCTTCAACCCTCCTAAGATGCCCGCTGCTACAGAAAAATCAACTGTGAAGACAGCGAGCAAATAGCGCCTTTTGCTGATTTTTAAAGAATATTAGACACATTTCTTGAAACACCCTGCATAATGCCGCGAACGCATATCCAAGGTCCTCTCGATCATCGAAGCCTCGGTGACGAACTCAGCGACGGTCTTAGGGGGGTTGCGGATGAGTCCAGCGAAGAGCTCTCGTTTAACTCCCCGCATCAGAAAGCGTACCTTCTTTTCTTCTGCCATTTCGGGGTCAGCTCTCCGGAACAGCATCTTCATCTCCTCAGCGAACAGTACAACACCTTCGTTAGGGTGTTGCATTCGCGTCTCCAACAAAAGGGCGGCTCGTTCTTTCCGTACAACCGTAGCGAATGTTTTGAGGAATTCGCTCTTAAAGACAGTCCAGTCGGTTAGGGAGCCTTCATGGTTCTCAAACCACGTTCGAGCTGCATCCTCCAAATAGAAGAAGACATGACGAAACGTTCGTTCGTCATCCCACCTGTTAAAGATGCGGATGCGCTCCAGCTTCTCCAGCCACTCTTCCGGGTCTTCACCAGGAGATCCTCGGAATGATGGGGGCTCACGAGGTTGCTGCAGAACGACGGGAGGGTTGGTAGTTCTGGTCATGGTGCCTGCGTTGATCATCGTGGTTTTTACGTCTTCTTCCCTTTTTTTATCCGGGAGCAGTCCAAACTCTGGCTGAAGGCCTTGCTGTCGGCGGCTGACACGAGTTGGGCTTGCTTGTCGGCTTGGCAATGGCTTAGGGTTCATATACCTCGCACCTCCACCAGATGTCACGCAGCAAAGGACGACGCAGTTGTCTATGAGGAAAACAAGTTTATTGGAGCGAACCTGTGCTCCCCTAACAACTGAAAGAATACACAGGCGGCGAAGCAGCGGCCGGCAAAACGACGGGCATGCTAGTGAGCGTCGGCGATCGAATGACGCGGCATCGGCTGTGCGGGAATTTATATCCCTCGGCGCGAGGGTTTCTCGAATAGTCGAATTGTATCGAGAACGCCGTGATAGCGTTTGTTAGAAACGCTGTTCGTTCGAACAGCGCTTCTAACAAACAACGCTTGAAGCGTTGTTCAATAGCGTTTGTTCGAAACGCTGTGAAAACGGCGATAGCACAGGCCGGCGCAGCCAGGCCGAAAAAACAAAACACAAATAAACAAACCCAATGCATGGTTCGCGGCATGGTTCGCGGCTGCGTGACAATATATCTATGCTTTTCTTTGCAATGAACCATAGTTGCGAATTAGTGCGTCTGTGTCGTTTACGTCTTTCTTCTAATGACCGTGTTTGTGTGAGCGCCATAGCCTGGCAAAATGTTGGTGTAGTTCAGAGGGGGGGGGGGGCGTAGTATCCCCTTGTGGACGCCCATGGACGAGAGGGGCTCATATACTATGTGTGTCGCACGGTGCACCGTAATATGCATAAAATATGTATTTAACAAATAAATTGAGTTGCGCAAGGAAATCGCAACACAAGATCAAACAAATCAAGGAATCTATGTCTAATGAAATGCATGCAAAATATTATTTTCCAATTTTATTAAGTTGCAGGCATTCAGCGGAATCTCTACGTGGTGCGAATGTTGGTAATTGCTGCGATAATCGCTCGGCGGCAGCAGCAGTGGCAGACATTTCAGCCACTTCGGCAGCCACAAAGTCCGGGTTGAGCACCAGCATGCTATAACGGTACACTTTCCTTGCGAAGTAGGCCTGCAACGAGACACCAAGGCATACAGTTCATAAATGCGTTAAGTCACTTCAAATCTCTCAAATTATTTATCCGTAGGCAGATTCCTAGAAAGCTAATAGCAATTGACAAATAAAATTGCTTGTATGAGTCATCTTCATCTGAACTACAAACTTTAAGGCTATCTCACGTGATCGCATTGAGGAGTGCGGGCGAGCTATTACAACAGTCGATCCGCAGTTCCGCTTCACTTTATTACATATTCAGCTCGTATATGTAGAAATGGAGTAAAAAATACCGAAATATTGACGGCAGCATTTGAACACTACGTAAACCTACTTGCACTGAGTTTCTTCTTGCGCGCACCTCTATACTTTTGATCTTTACAAGCCGGTAGCCAGGAATTTTTTTTTTCGATGAGAGGGAAAGGGGGGGGGGGGACTTGTTCGAGTCTTCACCTATTTTTATTATTTTGTTTCCGTAAAATACCCCCCACATCCAAATTTCGAGAAGAGAGGGCTAAACCTCCTCTACACTGGCTGCGGCGCTGGTTCTCTACCTTTTTATGCTAAACGTTTCTACACATTTTACGCTCGCGCAGTGTGGGTCGGCCAGTTTCGAGTCCTATTTCATTAACCACATCTATACGTCGATCCACCAAACGATTTGCCATGAAGTTTTTGGGCGATATTGTCATCCCGCACCGAGCTAATGGCTGACACGTAATCTTTGTCAGTTGAAACGTGCTGCACAAGTTATGTAGTCGAGCAACGAATGACGTTCGCCCTTAGGTACATTCTGAGCAGATGGCGAATAACCTACAAGAACATTATTTATGAGTATTTGATGTGTTACCATGGGCATTCCCAGGGCCCTTCTTAAAGGGGGTGCATCAGCCGGGCGAAGGGTACGAGGACATTCAACACGGTAGCGTTTCCTTCGCTGCTATGTCATCAACGGCGAGGTGTCAAACGCGCGTAAAGTTTAAGTCGGCTGGAATTCCTGAGAGCTATTTTACACGGATATGTGGAGCCCGATCATGATGATGATAATAATGATGTGCGATGTTTGACGTCCCAAAACCACCATGTATGTGAAGCCCGGGTGCGCAAATGAAGCCGTGCCGCTTATTGCTAGTGCATAGAAAAATTATTACATGAAATTCTGAAGGGTGCAGCCGGAGAGTGTTACCCTGTTCTAGAAAAGAGAGATGCTCGACTACGACAGAATTCTTACGGTAGTCTGGTGAAGTACGACCCCAATGCAGCACCTAGTTATCCTCGCAGCATTTAGTTCTGCGATAAACCAAGTCGTCGTAGAACGGGCGCGATATCAAGAGATTTGGTATTGTGCGGTAAAAGCTGCCCGCCACATCCTATTTTCAACGTTTCCATGCGGGCTTCGCGCGCTATTCTTCTTCAACTGTTCCCTCACGGAACGCTAGCGCCACCTGTTATAGACTCATGAAGTTGGGTCACAGTAGAAGCAGGCGCCAGGTGTGCGACATCCGCGGGGCTTTTAATTTGCGGGTTTACGGGCGCACATCTATAAACTGGCGTCTAATCTAGTTCATTTGTTAGAAATTTTATGACGTTAGTCGCGACATCGATTATACATAGCTTGAATTAGCGCCACCATGGCTGCCATCTTAGGGCACAAGCTCGTTGAGATACTGCGTGACCTCTTACTCGAACACGCGGAGCAAGAAACTGTGATAACGGATCAGTGCCTACACGTTTCCCTCACTAAAATGAGCTCTTGATTCTTATCTTTCATTAATAAATTTATCACAGCAAAATTGGTGATTGTATATTTGTTGAAGAATAATTATCCGTTTAAATTGTTTTTTTTTTCGTGCATATTGTTAAAATCTATATGACTGACGCTCCAAGAGGATCCATTGCCAAAATTCCCGAGGAGACCAAATTTACACTGAGAAGAAATCTTTAACAATTTAAAACAGAATGTCAAAATAAAGCGGGATTCACTAAAAATGAAGTAAATTTTAGTTATAAAGGGCCAGAGACTTACCATACCAAGTTTCAGAATATTTCGGTGACCCCATGTGGCCGAAATATGACAGTCTTTGAAGTCTGACGTCACACTGACATCCGTGCAGAGATTTCGGCACGACGTTTCCCACTCTAAATTCAATTCTTGATTCTTATCTTTCAAGAATAAATATATCACAGCGAAATTGATGACTGTATATTTGTTGAAGAATGAATATCCGTTTAAATTGTTTTTTTTGTGCGTATTGTTAAAATCTATATGACTGACGCTCCAGGAGGATCCATTGCCGAAATTCCCAAGGAGACCAAATTTATAGTGAGAGGGAATCTTGAACAATATAAAACAGAATGTCGAAATAAAGCGGGAGTCAGAATACGCCACAAGACAGAATTTCCGACAAGAAGATGTGTCCAAGTGTTACTGCGTGTTCACCGAGGCTAAATATTCAGCTTCAAAATCGACTGCTTCAGTCTTCAAAAGCATAGGGCATCGTTTTGAGCATCCAGGAACTGTCAACATCAATCGAGATTCCGCCACGCAAGCGAAGAGCACCCGGTATGTAAAAGGCAGTGGTATGGCCAGAGGGTGACGCACTCCCCCCCCCCCCCTCCCCGCTCCAAATTCCCCGTATTTTTTTATTTTTTTTTCGCGTGATATTGAGCCCAAAGTGACACTCGGCCACATATGCCTGCCAGGGTCCATTTCAGATCAAAATGGTGCGCCCAACAGAAAGACAAAAAAAAAGGAAAAAAACTTCTGCGTACGCCCCTGGCAAAAAAAGTTGCGTTTGAAGTTGAAAGTTCTTTAGGTTCATCAAGTAAATTATAAAATTAGCCCACTGCCAGGCGCATAGTATCTCCGGTGATAGATGTGTCACTTTAATAAAAGCTTCTGTTGACCTCCATAAGCTTTTTAGCAGAGGGAAGCGGGCCCGGCTGTACGCCTCTTTCACGAAATCTTTTTTTACGAATTCTGAAGTGAAACGTTCAATGTTTTTGCCACCTTACGTGTCATCTCGCGTCGACCATCACTTCAAAGTTCAAGATGCCATTCTGCCATGCCAAAAAGCCCTCGTGCTGAAGACGTCCGAACGGAATAATCTCCCGGCATGCCTACATCACCCGCAACCCTGACCATGCTTCATTACAGTCTGCCATTTTAAACTGGGAACACCACTCATCTGTGTAACGCCGCAAATGGCACCTATAATAAATAAATAAATAAATAAATAAATAAATAAATAAATAAATAAATAAATAAATAAATAAATAAATAAATAAATAAATAATAAGCGTTTGTGTGCTTGCGTACGTGTGTCCGCATGTGCGTGTGCATGTACGCGTGTGTGTACAGTCAAGTCGCATAAATCAACAAGTTGCTTGCGAAAATGAGAGTTCGCCAATCTCAACTTGCAGGAAGTCGTGCGGGCGTCATTAAAATATAGAACGTGATTTAAAATATTTGATTTATATGGGCGTGTTGTTTTCGTAATGGAAATGCTTTAAACTTCGATTAAAAATACACGCAACAGCGTGGTCCACAAATATATTTCGTATAACTAATAAATATGAATGATTACGACGCGAACAGTGCTGCGCCAACATAACTATACGCCATTTGTACGTTTGCGGAGAGCGGCGATTTTTCAGGCATTTGTCATGGTTATCAGGCACTACCGTTAGCGAATGCACTAAGGTTATACAGTGTTAAGAACAATGCTTGGCAAAAATTTACCTTCAATAAAACGAATAATCCGGCTGCGCCGACGAATGGTCCGACTAGCGTCATCTGCGCAGGAAGAAACATCCGAGGCGTAGGCATCCACAAGTACCCAGGAAATGAGAAATAGTTGCCGGAATCATTATACCCTAATTAAGAGCATCGTACACAGTGGAATCTAGATGATACATTTTTCATGGGAACACGAAAATAAAGCTCGTTAGACAAAAATCTTATTAACCAAACACTTAAAAAATGACGAATATATGCATGACCTGTCAGCAACACACTTTTATTGGGCAACATTGAAGTAGCTCGTCCAATTACTCGGCGCTTGCTTTTTTCAACGTTTAGGAGTAAATTAGTCTAAAAAGTATTCCTCTGTATTCTTCTGAAATTCCTCGCCTGACTCATCGTCATCATCATTTGACAAATCAGCCATGGCTGGTATATAGCGATCTCCTAACCACTAGCCGACGCTGCTGCGGCCTTAGCAGCTCTGCAACGTGCACTACGTGACTTGTTCGAATGCAGTTTGAAATAGGGTTCCGAAGAATAAACATAGGACTTTTTTATTATTTAAGTGAAGATCCGTTGTCGTGTTCTCATTATTCCGTTTCGGGCAAAATTGTGATTACATTAAATGCATGTAAGTGCATTATTTCCAATGGACGTCGGTGGGAAATAGAAAAAAGCGAAAAACGTGTTATGTCGAACAATGGGTTATGCAGGATCACGTATCAACGAGATTCCAACATATACAGCCGGTGGTAAGATGAAAAAAAAAAATAGATGTAGCTGCCACTTCGATATATCGCCAGTGCTGAAATGCGATGTTATTACTTGGACACGAGTTCACTACTGCTCGGCAGCCCAAGCTTAAGCTGCTGCTTAGCCACTACAACATAGTGAACTTAGAACGTTCAATAGCAATAGCATTTAAATAACAATGTCTCCAACAAACGAGCAACTGCTCGCTTAAGCAGCTTTACCACCGACTTTTGTACTTTTATTTAATCAAACATATCATCGTAATTCAGCAAAGAAACATGAAAGGGCCATTTCAACTCCGCAGATTTCTCAATGACCCTACTGATGACAAACGTGTGATCAACTGTACGATATCATCTAGTCTCAGCTGTAGCTCTTCGCAGAGTATAATTTAGATTAAGGAATCTTGGTCTACAATCGGTGGATGCCAGCTTGAAAATACCGTCATAACCTTTTGTGCTTGACACGGGAACACTTATCTAGCTTTGTGAATTACTTTTTGTATTTGAAACTCAAACCAAACTTTGATTGATATGTGGGGTTTAACGTCCCAAAACCACTATATGATTATGAGAGACGCCGTAGTGGAGGACTCCGGAAATTTAGACCACCTGGGGTTCTTTAACGTGCACCCAAATCTGAGTGCACGGGCCTACAACATTTCCGCCTCCATCGGAAATGCAGCCGCCGCAGCCGGGATTCGAACCCGCGCCCCTGCGAGTCAGCAGCCGAGTACCTTAGCCACTAGACCACCGCGGCGGGGCTCAAACCAAACTTTCATCTAAGCCAAAAGGTCATCGAGCTCTACTTGCTTTTATGTACTAAATAGTACCTGACCACGCTATTATAGACAGTTTTATTTTACTTATACTTTCTAAGTCTTTGTCTTTTTTTCTTTATTTCCTTCTCCTATTTTCTCTTTCTCCCCTTCTATCTTGTTCCTTTCCTCTGTTTCATCCCTCCTCCCGAAAATGTGAGCAGGAGTTGTGCCCCTCCAAGTGGCAGTAGCCAGCTTGCTCTCTCTCTCTTTCCTCTGTGTCCTCGTGTATGCAAATCAAATAAATAAATAAATAAATAAACACTCAAACCACACATTCCTCCTAGCTGCAAAAATCGCTGGTGTGCTTTAGTTCTGACATTGCTCCTTTCGGTCACAGAGATTGCCGGCAGCAATTAGTCACGCTAAGTGAGTGACTGCTGAGAATGTGCTGGACCATAAAGCTGTACTGCCCCCCCTCTCTCCTTCCGGAATCAAGAGGTGCAAGCAGAATTGCTTAGAGTTGATTACGTTATATACTCCCTTTGGTTAGAAAGCATATACAACAGGGGCATTGCCAGAAACTTTTTTCTGGGGATGGGGGTGAGAGGTCCACTACAAGATGATCGTGCGTGCGCTTGTATGTGCATGTGTATGTGTATATAATGCCAGACTCACTCCTTTCTTTCTATATCTAGAAGAATTCGGGTTATTTTAAGACGATGTGTTATGCCTTGGTACGCAAACGCGAAAAGCTAGCTGATCAGTTTCATCTACACGGCCGACGCATTGTTCGCCGCTATCAGTGTTCGCCACTAACGTGTGTATTGCTTGCTTGAAGTAGTTACGTGTTTTCGATTTCTGCTGAAGTTGTCTGTACCATCACGACCACGTGACAATGTGCGCATGAAAATTTGGCAAAAAAATACGGACCACCTCCCAGAAAGGAATCCTGATAGAATGCGAAGCATCAGCGGTGTGCACGGCGTTCACCCGTTGAAACAGGCTTCGATGCGGGCGCTGGAAGAACAGTTTGAAGCGAAACTCGGAGTAGCGTTTACTCGAGTAAACGTTTGTTTGACACGCAAAGACACGGGAGACGGGTTGGGTTTCGTGTAAGTTTCATCGCGGATAAACGAGCCGAGAGAGTGTTGCCACTCGACGTGTGGTGGAGAGTTGCGGGCCGTGCAGAGGGAGAAGCGATGAGTTTGTTGCGAGCGGGCGGAGGAGCCGGAAGCTGCGGGCGCTGCGGTGAGCATGCTGCGGGTGAGGAGGAGAGTGACCTCAGCGCGCCTGCGAGGGAAGCGTGCGAGTGGAGCGTGACATCAACGTGCAGCTGCGGAGTGACCTACTTGGCACCACTCACACACCTGTGGCGAGGGGAATCCGTTGCGGCGCGTTCGCACGGACGCACGTACCTACGGCGTTACGCTCGTGAATCAAAGAGCTGCTTCGCATCTAAAATTGCGGGGAAGCATTGGACGACCCCTCCACCGTCCTGCTGACGCCAGTGATACAAGGTAACCATAAAATCGTTCACCGGTGCATGCTGAAAATCACTGGTGACTCGTTATGTGGCAGTTATTCATGCACGACCTGCAGGTATTAAATGGTGTGTAGCATGCACACTGACATTGTCCTCGTTGGTCTTCCAGATGGCGATGACAATCAGGGCCAGAGTGTGTGCCACGGTTGTGAAAGAAGACCACCACATGTATGCCAGCATCGGGACACGCGAGTTCTGCCGCCAGAGGGGTGCGTCCGGGAATGATGCAGAAAAAAGGGAAAGAAAATAAAAGAAAACGTGTACGATTGAGGCACTCAGTGAAGGCAAGTGTTTACTGAGAGCATGAAAATGACTCATGGTACCCTCGCAGACGTGCCCTTCATATGGCCGCCTCAATCTTCAGAGTTGATAGATATGAACTCGGAGTGAAAAAATTCACAATTTTAAATGGTAAGAAAACATGTGAAATCGTCGGAGGAGCCTTAGGTTGGGTCAAAATTCTGTATTTTGTTGAAAAAATGAACTTATTGACGAGGACATTCGCCAAGCTTTTCATTTCATCAATAAACAGATGTAGGTACAATAACCGTCTGTACTCCCGCTCGTTTGAAGGCAGCATTGGCGTCCTTGTCAAACCCCCTGCCATAATAGCATAGTGCCTAGAACACATCACATGATGCGGGCCAGCGTTCCAGGTTCAACTTTCAAACTTCTAAATGGGTTGCAAGCAACGGTATATCGAAGTTTTAAAATTACGCCGCTTTCGGATGCAGTTTCATCAAAATAAAATTATCGGAAGAGTACACCAACCTGTGTGCTCAGATTTGGGTGCACGTTAAAAAACCCCAGGTGGTCTCAATTTCCAGAGCCCTCCACTACGGCGTCTCTCATAATCATATAGTGGTTTTGGGACGTTAAACCCCACATATCGATCAATCAATCGAGTACGCCAACCTGCTTGTTGTCTCTTTCATCAAAAGAATTCCCCCGGGTTGTGATTAGGGGGAGCCAAGTATCACTTCAGCGTTTCCCCCTCCCACTCTTCCGAAAGAGAACACGATTCACAATGAATTCAAGAACAATAAGAAAGCAAAATGAAACACAAGAATGCTTTTTCCAGCTGCGTACGCCATCAGTCCGCAGCTTTGCGGGGACCGAGGACAGGCCGCTAGTGGTGTGAGACAGCATGGAGCAAGGCAAGCAGTTCTGGCACTTTAACAACAGGGGCCCTCGGCAGTCACTATCACTAAAAACGTGCATGGTCATCACTCTGGTCTTCAAAACTTTGCGGCACAGGTCTCACTGAGTAAGGGGATGGGGCAGGCTTGACACCCCTCCCCCGATTGATTATGAAGGCGCTGATGACGACGGCGACGACTATAGAGCCTCCTTTCACCTTCCACCGGGTATTCTTTTATGAACTTTCCTAAACGAGGACGACTCAACCTTCAGCGCGCGTACAGGAAATTAACTTTCCAGGAAAGCAAGAGGTAAATAAAAATTCGAGTGGCTCACATCTTCAATGCCGATGATAAGGTATAAATCCACGAGGCTGCTGATGTAGAATGAAGCCACCACCAGTGAACCGGCGAACTGTATCTCTGCGAAGAGTAAGACGTCAGATGATCCAATGTGGTGCTTTAAATATCACCAATGATCATGCTTTATTTGGCTCAAAATAAAGATGGACAGTTAGTGCAGCACCAAAAAGCCAGCTTCGCACTACGAGTGCCAAGCCTCAGCGAAACATTCCTTGTTTATCTTCGGTTTTCTCTTCCTTTTATTCTCCCTTTCTTTCTCTCTATTACATTCTCTTTCTCTTTATTTTTTTATTTCTTCACCTGTCTTTATCTTTTGTCATTCTTTCTGTGTTTCCTCCTACGTCTTCCTTTCTCTCTCTGTTTCGATTTTGCGCTTGCTTCCTCTTTTTTTCTGTTTTGATACATGGTTCTGCCGGCGTTACACCAAGCACACTAGTTGCACTCTGACAAGTGATCATCATCATCAAGGCATTCGAATAACAAGGGGAAGCATATTACTTCCCCTTGGCGCGAGCGTTTGCTCAATATGCGACACATGAAGTGCTATACGCCCAGTGACGATGACAGTACACGACAGCTGGGTGCCCTGAAATGCTCCGCACATAAAATAACATTGCCTACTAAGAGCTATATGCCTGACGCCTTCGAACGCTATTTGCATTATCGCTCCTAAGTGGAGTCGATCCGGAATGACGGTGGGACTGTCACATATACCTGCAGGGTTGCTGTCGATCGAGCTGAGCTTGAGCTGAACGGCGGCGTCCTCGGCCTTCAGGACGCTGAAGAGGAACACCATCACCAGAACGCTGTTCAAAGTCTGCGTGCACACACATGTTGGCGGAATAATAGAAGAATGGCTGTAATGGACGCCTACAAACTAAATATTAGTAGTCACTTCCAGTCAATTTAGTTAGAACTTCGTTACATATGTGTAGCTGATCAATCACTTATGACGCACAGCGTAATACTTCAAGGCACGCCTGGCGATCTCAATATGTGTAGGTCCCATTCTCATGCCTCAAAGGCGTGTGAAAGGGGAGAGGGAGGGTAAAGTCTGTCCAACGCCGACTAAATTTCAAGGCCGAAAGGCTGCCGCAGTGACGTCAGAAGGTGGGGGCTCAGTTACGCCGCGAACGCGGCGGAAAGCCTGCGTTTCGTTCACGTTTTAGGAGAACCAACGCTCCCGCTTTCGCAGCTACTGCGGCTTGATTGGGCCGAATAAAAGACGTGAAAAAAAAAAAAAAGTCTTACTGAGCATGCTCAGTTGGGCAACTGGGCAGAACCTGTTCTAGGTGGCTTTGAACTGGGCCCCCAATCTCTGACGTCACTGCGGCAGCCTTTCGGCCTTGAAATTTAGTCGGCGTTGGTCTGTCCCATACATTGATTTAGAAACCTTCACCCCCCTCCTCCTTTTGAATAAAAACCTTGCGTACGCCTATCTGCGCACGCGCACAGACAGACGCACGTGTTACATTGTTCGTGAAGTCTCAGCCTTCGTCACCCCATGCAGAGTTGCATTCGATCGATTGTGCGTGATGGCGACCTGTATAACAACGTCGTTTTTGTAACAAGCTGACTTCGTGTATTTGCCTACAGAATTACCATGCGTCCATACCACGAATGCTGCCTTTTTTTGCGATATTTAGAACACTTGAGACGGTATCATGAACTCTCTTGAGCGAACTCAAATACTGCTCACTAGACGTGTACTTTTAACGTGCAGCTGATGGTGAACAATGCTCATATACGATGCTTGACGTAATTCAAGATAACGGGCGTTGATTGGTAACTTACGAAGAAGATGCTGCTCGCCGTCTGTATGCCGGGCCTGTTCTTGAACATGAGGCGGTCAAAACAGTCGCCCATCGTGCGGTGATAAGGACGGTGTCAGCTGCGAAATAAGTATAATTTCGTGGGCTAAACAATTGTACGTGAGTATATGCTCTCAAGAACATCAGTGAACTGTGACGGCGTGAACCGAATTGCCTGCTTAATATACGGTGCATCGCATACTGAATATGAACGAATTTAGGCAGCTCTAAATAAATGAAAATGTACAGTGTATATTCAAGCCAGCAGATAATGGACGCGTTTCGCAAGCCTAATCAGAAAAGTTTTCATAGCTGTCGCTTATATTATCCAATATAAGGTGTTACAAAATAATAAAGTGACTTTTGTCATGGCCTTACCTTCCAATCTGTCCAATCAGATTTGGGGTGACCACGAATTAGCTTAACTTTGGAAACGAAAATTATCCTTGCTGGCGTGGCGCCTTTGACTTCTTCTTCTTCTTTGAATTCAACAAACAAGCCACAATATGAAGCGTGGAAACTTGGGCAAGTTGGTAGGGAATAACTGAATATATGAACTGCGCAACCAAGAAGTATACCGCGTAACTATGGAACCAACTTTCCTGCCCTTGTTTTTGCTTTCGTAGTTACGTTGTAACTACACTTCGAGGTTGCGCTGTTCGTATATTTAGTTAAGCCAAAATAAAAACGGTAGCTCCGTTTTAATCGCTAGTAAGCTATACACACAGCATATTTAATGCATGTCTGCTGACCTGTGTAAATATTGTAGCTATTGTCCACTTGTAAGTCGCAGCTACACTTTCAGAAATCATTGTTGACGTGCAGGGTGTATGCCTCTCACGTTCCCCAGCATTCATTCTTAAAGCTGTCCGCCAATCGACTTTCGCATCTATTGCAAAAAAAAAAAAATTAATCCTCTGGCTAAAAAACCGCGAGTGAATGAACATGTTATCCTGTTGGGCTAGGACCATTCCTCGCTTAATTGCCGATAGGCTTTTAATTCAGTAAGATATTTACTGCTGCATGTTTTTGAAACAACAACAACAACAACAACACAACAACAACAACAACAACAACAACAACAACAACAACAATAATAATAATAATAATAATAATAATAATAATAATAATAATAATAATAATAATAATAATAATAATAATAATAATAATAATAATAATAATAATAATAATAATAATAATAATAATAATATATGAATAATACCCTGATGAGGAAGAACCCTACTAACTATATTTTTCTCGCCCCCTTCCGGCGTAACGGTGGGTACGTGCCATTGTAATCGCATTATCATAATTATCATCACCGTCTTCATGCGTCACGAACAGGCAGCAATGGAGCCAGCAGCACCGGAACAACCTCCCGCAGCCAGGTAACGATTTCACCTACCTCGACGTAAGGAAGATGTTGACGCTGCTATTAGCGCTGGCCTGTTCTTTTCACGTTCACGATATACGCGAGGAAACTATTAGCAATAGCGGAAAACACACGCTCACCAAACAACGCAGTGCGGCTTTTTATATGATGTAGTAATATTAACTGAATTTTCACGAATGTTCGTGTAAAAACATTGATCGCTGTTTTTATAGAAGGAGTCAGACTTATTTCTTTCACCCCCGTACAAAATTTGTCGATGTGCCGTGCGCTCAACCTAGTGTAAGTGATTGAAAGCGCACTTACAGTGTTCATTGGTGTTCGCACCTCGAAACCAACCACGCGTAACAGTTCTTACACTTTACCAACTTGCTTTATCTAGTCTGCTCAATAGCGTCCGCTGTATACTTACTTTCACTGCTGTTCTTCAAACTCTGCATTTCTATCATAACATGTCCTGATGACATTAATTTATCCTTCCCCCGCCTTATGTAATACCTTTAATAGATGATGATGATCAGATAATAACACACATTTAGGAAAAAAACAACAAAAAAAATCTCAAGGTGCAAGCCCTATGGCTGAGTTATGGGCACAGTCGCCAGAGCATTGCTGCATGGAGTGTTCCAGCTAAACACATTTAAGTCGTTACGGGGCGGGACGGAGGTAAAGCTTATCGTGCCGAGCCGGTTCATCAAGGGTTCAAAATGACCGTTGAACTCTAACCCGAACCAACTTTATGTTTTTCGCTTCGACGTCATGGTTCAACCCCACCTAATTCAGAACTTTCGCACTTTGTCCATGGGTATATAAACCCTCAGGTGGTCGATCTTAAGACGTGTAAATATTTTAGTACCACCCGAAAACTTACAGCACATAAAATTCGAGGTAAGGGAAGGAGGGTAGTCAAATACCTTTCAGTCAGAAACCCCTCCCCTGCCTATATATGGAGAGATGTATTATCTTTCTCGTAAATAAAAAAACCCAGTCCTTGAACGACAAAGTGCGCCAATCACTGTTGGGTATGTCTTCGCGATTCTACTATGTCTTTGACTGTTTGTATAGCCAAGCGCATCAAAAATAAAATTTTACTTGATTGTACGGCAACGTTCTTGCTTGCTATCTCTTTGTCCCGCGTTTTCATTTACCTTGCTTGAACCAGTGGAAGTACTCATGTGCGTCGTAGAAGACGACCAGCTTAACGTTAGTGCACCGGCGACAAGTATGGTCGTTGGCAGGCAGCGAATGAGCGACTGACCCAAACGCCCATCTCGATGGTTACGAATCGCCGCAGGCCTCCACCGGCCACGACTCGATCTTTGTGCCCGGCAGGTTGCTACTGTTGCTTTCACCTCCGGAGCCGCTCCAGCATCCAGAGTTTTGCCGCACTCTGTTTCGTAAGTGAGACGCCGCACGGACATTTTTCGCAGCTGCAGGCTTTAGAACACACAATCAGGACGAGAACGTGCTGCGGTAGAATGCCGCACTAAAGATCACCATCAGATTGTTCTGCTCGCCATCACGCATACAATTATGACTGAATATAAAAAATTGTGATCGCTTATGAATAAATGTTAGACTATCAATAAGAACAAGCCAAGAAGTATGGCTAACCTGCCAGTCATCTAAGCACGAGAGCCCTGCTAAGTGGATTCCGTTCTAACGCTAAGTGTTTTTGTGGATGCTAATGTAACTGTCACTCATACTAAGCATTAAAAGTTCGTCATACCTTCTTCAATATCGCCCTTCACCGAGCAGTGATAACGGAACTTTTGCAAACCTTTAAAACATTGGGGTGGCTACAGCGGTGATTCTTGTAGACAGCCAAAACAGTTTTTCGCGCATATTTACAGTTCACGAAAAAAACAGATATACACCACCCATCGCATGCAATAGCGCGCGCCGGGCGCGATCAGTTTCGATTTCACACGTCAAGTTACATAATGAATAGTTAGAACTACGTGCATCTTTAACAATTTCTACTGTGTGTGTGTGTGTGTGCGCGCGTGTGTGCGTGTGTGCGCGTGTGTGTGCGTGTGTGTGTGTGTGTGTGTGTGTGTGTGTGTGTGTGTGTGTGTGTGTGTGCGAACAAACGAAAAATGACACTTCATTGAGAAACTTTCTGCCGTGGTCAGGGCTTTGTGAATGCATGTACTCATAAGATTGCGATGCGAACTTTTCAAATAAGCACCCGCATATGCATACTCAATGTTAACAAATTCTCTAAGGGCGTATACAAACACGCGCAGAATTTCGTATAGTGATAATAGCGGACATAGCGGAGCAGAAACAGTTATTGTAGATGTGTCGAAGTAGCGTAAAAAAAGAACGAAGAAGACAGTTACACAAACAGTACATTTGTGATTGAGTGGCGAATAAAAAGTCATGCTTAATGAACATTCAAAAGTAACACTCATCTTCATACAAATTCACATCAGCAATATAGTCTATCGGCATGGACGTCATGATAATGGTACTAATTGTACCTGCGCATTCTGTCTACCTAACTCGTCTGGCTGAGGTCACCAAAGATAGTGTGAAGCTTGGTAAAAGCTGAGCAAATATTTTATACGATCATTAAAGTCGCTTCTCGCATGGCGCACCTGCCAACATCGACACTATCGTGACGTCTTACTACAAGCTGGTGATTTCACACTTTGTTGTGGCTAGTCGTGATGACGTGAGGTACCGAAACATTCAGAACGGCCGCTTGTGTCAGATCATCGGAGCGGAGCGGCGATGGAAACGTCATGACGACGTCCGAGAGCACGTGATGAGAAGCTCATACGGTGTTGTGACATCAAGGTACAGTGCATGAACCAAAACTAAGATAGAAAAAAAAAAAACTCTGCTCAGTTTTTCTGGATGCGCTCACACTTACCAGCCCATTTTCTAGGCTTTAAGGGCTTGACACTTCAAGTGATACGAAAAATCGCCAACTGAAACATTTCGTGTCAGTTTTCCTTTCAAGCAATGCGAGCCCTTGGCGGTATCCCGTCCCTCTTGCTACACATTCTAGAAAAGCTTTTAGCTGTTTAACTGTGACCATAAGTGGATGAAGCAATTGCTGCACAAAAACCGATAGGCTGATACTTTCCCGATTTTTCGTATATGTGCGTAACGCGCAATGTTGCAGTTCACGGTTAAATTTTCGTACAATTCCACTTACTTTCCATCCTTGGTTGGGATTGTTGCAGATTTGCAACGCCCTCTTGCTCCTCATCCTGTTCTTCATCGTCGTCAACCCAGAAGAAGCGACCGTCTACATTAAGCTCAGCATCGTCCACACCAACTTGAAAGGTGACCTTCCAGACCGCGGATACAAAACCATTGTTACGCCAATCTCACAGACGCCACGCTCAGGCTAAGCTGCGTCACTGTTTTAGCAGAAATGTGCGCGCACAATTACACTATGCATTGTCTTGCTCCACTGGACTGAGTGCCGGTTTAACAACATGGTTCGTGATCCGCTGACACCTTCTCGTGTTGCTCAAATTACTGCACGCTAAACACTGTGTAAGCTGGTATACCGAAGCACTTAATCTTGGACCAGCTCTCTTAAGGGTCTTAGCTGCTCGAATCAAGCGATTAGAGCACTCTTTCAATGTTGCCTGAACGCAGATTTCTCTCGCTCGAACTCGCAGAGGTATCGCTGCTGCCCATACCTTACGTGATCACGACCACGTTGAGCATCATGGTGGATCTGCTCCTTCTCATCGGAATCGAAGATGTGAGTGTGACTATGAAGCATCTTGCTGCAGGCCTCGGTGGAACAGTTGTTAGGGGGCTCTTCTGCTGACCCGACGTGTGTTCTATCCAGGCTGCGGCGGTCACATTTTGATGGAGGCTAAATGGCCCGCGTGGGCTATGCCAGCGCACGTTAAAGAACACCAGATGGTCCGAATTTTCGGAGCCCTCCACTACGGCGTATCTTATAATCATATCGTGGTTTGGGGACGTAAAGATATTATTATCTTCCTGAAGACGTAACAGCTACGCCTGCGTGAACGATGATGAGCGACTTCGCTTCATGAACAGCATGGAAGGGGACGACACGACCAGCACAAGCGCTTGACCCCACCATATTCGTTCCTACGTGTCGCCATAATTTACGAGACGCCTACGAGACGCCATAATTTGTTTTGAACTGCCAAGGCGTGTCTCGCTAGCATGGCAAGCAGTGGCTCTGAGACTTTAAGATGAAAAAAAAAAAAGCGCCTGCTCACGCTGCGCAACCTTTTAAGAAGTCAAAAACAACCAGAGCTAGATATTACTAAGCACTGTCTGTGGAGATCCCAACACGATTCGGCAATCGTGCCGGTGTGGTGTATCCTGATTGCACAGATCTCCATCCACAACGAAAAATGCCGAGCTCCGCCGCCAGTGGATATAATTGATTGATTGATATGTGGGGTTTAACGTCCCAAACTACCATATGATTATGAAAGACGCCGTAGTGGAGGGCTCCGGAAATTTCGACCACCTGGGGTTTTTTAACGTGCACCCAAATCTAAGCACACAGGCCTGCAGCGTTTTCGCCTCCATCGAGAATGCAGCCGCCGCAGCCGGGATTTGATCATGCGACCTGCAGATCAGCAGCCGAGTACCTTAGCCACTAGTGGATTTAATCTCGATCGGCAGAAAACCCTACGAGTCCAGTAAAGGTGTACGAGTAAATATAATTATTACGTTTACTCAAGCCCGACGCCAGCTGTCCCACTTTACAACAACGTTTGCCGTGCAGTATGCCGGTGTAGTACCCCGCCGCGGTGGTCTAGTGGCTAAGGTACTCGGCTGCTGACCCGCAGGTCGTGGGTTCGATTCCCGGCTGCGGCGGCTGCATTTCCGATGGAGGCGGAAATGTTGTAGGCCCGTGTACTCAGATTTGGGTGCACGTTAAAGAACCCCAGGTGGTCAAAATTTCCGGAGCCCTCCACTACGGCGTCTCTCATAATCAAATGGTGGTTTTGGGACGTTAAACCCCACAAATCAATCAACCGGTGTAGTATGCGGCACCAAGTCATTGCCGTACTTTTTTGCAGGCTACATGCCAGAAATAGGATATATTATGCCTCACACGTGGATGCAAGCACCGATTACGTGTACAATTGTAACGGCGTACTAGAGTGATACAAAGAGACGTGAACGGCGCGAATAGCATAGCTTTCTCGGCCCAGTCGAACTACGGTGTGTCTTGACTCGCTACGCGAATCTGTGCTTTCGGTCGGCGTCACCGTAGCATTTTAAGATCTTGTTCTGGTTGGCACTTTCGTCACGCGTGTGTGTTACGAGTGCCCTGCACGAGTGGTAAATGATAAACACATGCAGTGGATGAGTGCAAGTTGCAGCGAGATTCTAGCGCTACGTTGACGCCAACTTACAGCACTAATTCTACCTTGCCATATCCAAGGCACGCCACAGTGCGACTGAGTCGAAAGCAATGCTTTCCGCTGTTCGTGTTTCTTTCAACCGCAATAGTATGTACCTGATGAAGTTGCTTACGAAGACTGCAATGCACGTGCTGTAGACATTCTGGACTGTCGAGGAGGGTCTCCTGAACGTTTCACACAAACTTCCAGGAGCGGAAAAGCACGAAACATCAATTTTCGGAGCGTCTGCTCGCGTGGCAGTGCATAGGTGTCGCTTCGCCGCGCTTGCAACAGATGGCGCGACGCGCTTTTCAATATGGCAGCACGCACTGAGCTCGCTGTGTTCTGGTGTTGCGCCGCAAACCCACAGTTGCCATCTGTCACGCAGAACTGTCGAGAGGTGCTGCAAGTCTACATCGGCTGGAGTTCGTTGTGCACGGCGTTCGAGTGTGTCTCGTGGATTGGCTTCGTGGCTTGGAAGGCGAACGGCGAAAACGTGAGTTGCAAAACACTCGCGACAAGGCACATTCAGCGCAACTTTTGCAGATCACTGGCTTTCTTCTTTGCTTCCTCTATACCCTGAAACTATACCTGTAAACCGAAACTAGAATTCAGCCGACAGCATGAAAGAAAAATAAAACATGTGGCTGCGTTCTTTGCCCGCATATACTGGACCACAGGTGGCTACAGCTGTGAAAAACTCCTCTTTTCACGAGCCTGCTGCAGAAAACGATCTCGATAAATAAACAATTAAAGACGGTGTGAAAGTTCGGCATGTTGATGGTATCACATCACGTGAGGCAAAAGAAGGAAGTTTCATATGTGTCGCTCAACGGTGTGTCCTTCAACACCATGTTGCCTATAGGTTAATGGTGACGTCGTGCTTGTACACGTATATTTGTGCGTTTGGATGCACTACCTTGCTATGTTTTAAACTTTCCACGCGATTTATAATGCAGTTAAATAAAAAAACTTCATATAGGACGCCAGTTTGATTCGGAACTCCAGCTTTCGCTTTCTCTGTGTTAATAATGATTAATTTTATAAGTGTCCACGACACAAATCAGCGGTGAAGACAGAATTTTTTTGGGGAAGAGGGAGGGTTTAGTCATACTTTACGTGTGTTCGTGCGCGCGTTTGTAAGTGTGAGCGCATATATGAACAATAAAAATTAAAAAAAAAATTAGGGACAGGGTTTCAATTCTCCCAGTTACGTCCTGGCTCCTGGCTACGCCCCTCACATAAGTGCGCTTTCCGTTTCGAACCTTGCGAGTCTATATGATAGTCCTTGTGGCCATCACTGTAACATTTTATTAACGATATCGTAATTTCAGCGAAAAAAGAAGGAAAGTACAAAAATAAAGAGCTGAAGTAATAACCCTTGCAATACGAACACAGGGCATAGGTTTTCCTGTTCATGAAACGTTTACCCTATAGCAGCTGATTTTGACTTCATTTTCAAAGCCATAACGTAGCGTCAATTATTTGAGAACACAGGAATATTATAAAGAGCACAGTTGAAGCGATATAGCACACAGCCTATACATACGAGGACTCTATCGGAGTCCGCGCGGTCGTTCGCGCACATCTGACATTTCATCTGTTTTGTCAAAAATGGAAAAGAGAAACAATAAAGCCATAACTAAAACAGATGTTATTGCTTTTTCCTTTCAACTATTCCTTCACAAATATGCTCTTGACCGCTGTGACGGTTCAGAGTTCGTGAATGGCAGCATGCGCGGAAGGCAATTGAAATTAAGGACACTTGGGTGCGATGTGTCTTACCTGCGGCCGCTGTCGAGATTCATTTTTTTTTCTGGGTTCTTTCTGCGCGTGCACTTGTCGCAGCATTTACACGCACGGTCAACGGCATTCGTTATGACGATTGTTATAGCGCGAGAACAGAACGACAACAAAGAGACAAGAAGGACACGAGCGCATCTGTTAGTCCCAGCTGCGTAATTGATGGACGACACGACGCAGAAATTTCAACTTCCGATAAAAAATATTCAATGTCCCTTGCAGCGTGGAGGAGGTTTACTATACGTTGTTCACAAAAGTGTCATAGTTGCTTTGACGTCCAGTATAATCACGACAGCACCATAACTGGGAAAGGTTCTGTATCCTTCACGTATCAAGCCACTTTCACTCGTATTTCGCACTTATAAGTGTACCATAACACTGAAGCATATCTCTGTTGATAATAAAGTTTATTGTTTCTTAAACTTTTTTTTTGGGGGGGGGGGGGGGGGGTTGGCTAGGGTGAAAGTGTGAAGGGTCCAGAGCTAAGCAGTCATGTCAAATTGCGTCGTATGAATAACAATAAGAAATACATGGTTACAACAATAAAATTTAAAGTACAGTAGACAAATTTGGTAAATGGCGTGGAACTCGGTCAACGCTTGCCCCGCCCTTTTCCTCTCCGCCGTGTATTTTTTCGCACTGTTAAACCTCAATAATGGTAAACGAACTAGCCCAGTCAGCCACTTTGTTGTGAACAAGAGGGCGCGTGTTCTCATTCATTCATTCATTCATTCATTCATTCATTCATTCATTCATTCATTCAATCAATCATTCATTTTGAGTCTGTTTGATGTCTGATTCATGTTGTTCATGTTACGTGTTTTCGACATCCGCAATTGTTTTGTACCACCTATGTAGGGTAGTGTTTCCGGTCCTACGCTCAACATGCACAAACGAACTCAAATGAATGCTTGACTGACTTCATTCTTTCACATTGTCATCTCATAAGTGAGGCGCACCTGAAGTAGGCACAAACACTAAAAAAAGCACTCATACTGCAAAGAGGCACATTCTCCAAAGACCTGTTAAAATACCGCACATGAGACGCGAACTTATACGCATGGTAGCTCCATTGTGTAGTTAACAGTGGTACAATATCTTATCAACGCTTGTTGTATAGATGCACGCTGTGTTCATGCTTTGCAGTCCGAAAATTCGTTGGCGAAATTTTCTCGGTCACTTCGAGCTGTGATCAGAGCCGGACAAGGGTCGCCAAGCTGTTGGCTGGTTTATCGCAACTATGCACAGCTGAATTTTCGGGGCAGGCTCATGCAATGTTGTAAATGTCTGGCACATACCCGCAATACTCACTATTCGCCCCGAAGTAGTCTAGCTCTATCGCATGAAGAGTGCGTGGATTGTTGAATGACGGTGTGAAATTTTCGAATATTGATTCCCTGTTCTTTCGTCAGGCATTCAGTTGCAGGCGGGTGCCTGCGCCGTCTGGCTGCAGTTTTCTATAAATAGACTATAGACTGTCTCCGGAAGTTGTTCCCATCAGTGCAGTCAGAACTGTTAACGTATCAAGTGGAAGTATCGGTCGTGCAAGGGATTTATTAAAACTTTACGTGCAAAGGAAAAAACTACCTCGCGATATAAATTAAAGTTGTGCATGCTTAGCTGCTCGTAGAGGTATACCTAACACCCAGTCTTTCTCGCGAAACCTATGCAGATGTTTATGTCGCACATCTCACATTTCTATCGTAACGGTGGTGCACAAAAAAAAACAATAGCACGGAAGGAAGAAAACTAAAAACAGCGCACACTAACAACTGAGAATTTACTGCAACAACACATAACTCGCCCAGCAGTCCACGCCTCTCACGTTTATGTGTTTGTTGATAACACTTACTTGCGCAGTTAATTTGATATTCCTCTTTTTATGGTGTGGCTCCTGTTTAATAGCGCAGTGGCAGGGCTTTCTGTGTACGTTTACCGCCCGTGGTCCAGCATCTGTATGTAAATTACACGTTAACACACCAGCAGCGTTAGCTACCGTACTAAAGAATACAAAGAATACCGTACCAAAGCTACCGTACCACATAATATTTAAAATGTTAACACAGTTTTCATGCTGTAAGTCCCGCAAAGCTGGGTCACTGCAGAGCTTGTGGGCACGTTTCATCTTCTTTTGTTATTAATGAGCACGCATTGCTGGGGCGGTGATTGGGCACGCGTTGGCTCATGATTATATTAATTTTCTTTCTACGAGACACGGCAAACACGGACAGTACCAGCTCTGCTGTAGTAGTTTCATTGGACTCAATTACCATGTTTCCAACAAAATGTTCGTTAAGTACGTTAACACTTCCCTATAACTATTTTGTTTGTTTCGCAGCTTGCTTTCTTCAAAACGCCGTCGATCATTCTCATCGGTGTAGCGCTTTTCAAGGTAAGTTTCACTGTCGAGGTAATATATTTTGAAGCTTATCTTTTCGCAATTACTCAAGCATCAGACATGAAATACTTGGTCACGCGCTTTAAAATTAAATGTACTAGTACGGTGCACCTGTACACAAAATTATTTCAACTGTTTTTGACAGGAACAATAATGAGAGCAAAGCATGGAGCACGTCGCTGAGTGCAGCGTCCCACAAAATACTCATGACGAGCGTCAAAGAGATGGCTGCTCTGTCAGGGTATGTAATAACATAGCCTCCTACATTTCCCTTCGCTGCCGGATTATCGGCGGTCACATGGAAAGCGGCGGTCGTAGGAACTATGGTGGTGGCGCTGCCTAAGTAGGGGTGTCTTCAAATAAGTGTTTACGTTTTTGGAGCTTAAATGCAACAAAAATAACGTAAAAGAGTTTTAAAAGGCGTAAACGTAATTATAATTAACCCTACGTAGGTGACGCGGTCATTCAGCAGGCAACTCCTTCAATACAAGGCATAGCCTCCGAAATTAATAGCAAACGCAGAAATTGCCGATCTCAAAGGCCAAGTACAAAGACCTTTACCCCTACGTAGGCAGCGCCGCCATAGATGACGGATGTTTCGCGTTAATTCGGCAGGCAAGGGAAATCTAGGAGGCTATGGTAATACAAAACGATGCCACTGCCACTGCTGACATGACCGTGGAACCGTTATCTCTCATATATGGAAGCTCCCCGTCCGTTCAGCGCAGCATAGTCGTAATGACTTTAGACCATTTTCGAAAGGCATGTCCCCGCGAGAGTGTATGTGCTAGAGGAAGCCCACCACTATTTCTCAAGCGGCGCACCAATCCCCATGATGAGCGTTACAACAACCTATTCATAGCTTAATCAGTGAAATAATAGCGATGACTATAGCAACGGAGACTTGCACATGTTACAAAAATGCGTAACCGATTACAATTACTTTCTTTAAAATGCAATTGATTGCAGCATTCAAATACAGCCACAGTAAAGTAATTGAGATCTCACAGAAATGCAATAGATTACTTTTGCGTTACTTTTATTCATACATTTATTGCCGTGACACAATAGCACCAGCCTGCAGTGACTATAACGAATCACCGTATCTTGCGGAGTATAGAGAGGGCTGGAAGATTGCGTGGAGGCTGAAATAATTACTGCGGCTTCTGTTATACTATAGTGTTACGCGTTGTCAACTGTCAACAGAAGCTGATTTTCGAAATTGTCGGGGCTAATGCTTTCGCGTTTCCTCGTTAGGAGGTCTGGAAACTTTCTCAGTGGAGGGTATACACATGGTATTACAGTGAATATTTACTTGAGTGAGCTTCAAGGGACCCAAAGAAATACTTCACTGAAAATTCACTAAACTGAATACGGAACAGCATTGGGTACAATAGTAGCCAAGTCATTTAAATGTGCGAATTGTAGTTCATTTTGAAATATTCTGTAATTTTCAATTAGACTAGCCCCGTTAAAGCACAAGAAGAGACAAAGCTGTTTAGGGGGTCTACGTTTATGTGCACTGCCTCTGGCGCAGCTTGTTGTTACTGTTACACGAAGTCTCACAACTTTCACTATCTTGCAACCTTGGGTATATAGAGATACAATATATGAATATGCCTCAGCCATTAAAACTACTTCTGCGCACTTTTCTGCCGGGTTTCGTACGAACACTGGAAACAAGTTCCAAATGTGACAGCTCTACATGTACAAGCGATATTGCCCCACCGCCGATGGATGAGCGATTTAGGGGCAGCGCGCGTCGGCAACGACAGTGCTGTAGAGCGCGAAACTTCATTGAATTGCAAGAAATTTATGTAGCGCGAGGCGAAAAAACGGACACAGGAAGGAATAGACTGAGAGGACGTTTTTTTTTTTTTTTCGCCTCGCGCTACATAAATTTCTTTCAAATGCATCACCAACAAGCCCACATTGCCACTGTTGTCGACTTCATTGAATTGACTTTGACAATGAGCCTGGGTTCGCAGATCAAATTAGTTCAACTGAAATTTTCAGTGTTCAGATGTTCATTTAACTGAAAAAATTTTGCATAGAACGCGTAAGAAAACCACCTAAGATTTTCTCCATGTTTGTTATTCTGAAATGTTCGTTAAACTGGCATTCGTATGTAAAAGTGTGAGTTCACTGTATAACACCGAAAAACGTAGCGCAACAGCTCGTATAGTTGCATAGTGCTTCGATAGTGTCCATGTCCTCTACGAAGCGCCACGCTTTGTTGTTGCTGGAGCTCGGGTAAGGCTTACAGATAACACCAAGGAAAATGATGAACAAATAGGATCACCCCCCTTGTGACAGGGCGGGAGTTCCATACAAAGTGGTCCCATGCTTTTTCCGGGATGAGAACTGCCGTAGAAAACTGGTTACAAGCAGATTTTGAACAAAAAGTAATTGTCTGGTGCTAATCACTTACTAGAAAATGTTAATTGCCCAGAACGTTTCAAGTTAGAAGAAGTGATCGAATAAATGACAGAATAATTGATTACAAGTAATCAATTTCTTTTACTTGCAACTCTGATCGTTACCAGCACTTGGCTCGGGAACGCCGCAAGTGCTCGGAGTCCGTGCCCTGCTTTGACGGTCACCCCTAGCGCTACTGAACAAATAATTAAGCAGCTTGACGACTATAGCAACATACTAGTCAAGCAAGTTTGCTTCTTCTGTTGTGGTAACGCGTCGCACTACAATAATAACTCGAGAGCACGCGATCGATTCCCGGCAGCAGCGGAATCGTTTTGATGAGGGCGAAATGTAATGTGAAAACACGCATATATTTAGACTTCGGTGACCGTTTGAGAAGCCCACGTGGGGAAATTTATAACGGAGAAATTTATAACGGATTCCCCCACTAAGGCTTTCCTAAACAGTTGGTTGGTTTATATTTGATAAGCCATTGCCGCACAAAACGATATGAGCACAAGGAACGTATAGGATCGTACGCTGTACGTGGCACCTATGGTCCTTGCTTTCTTTATAGATTGTTCAACAAGTGGCTCTGTTGTTCTCATTCATTCGCAGGTGTACACGGTGCGACAACTTAGGGACTACATGAAAGTTCTGAAGGACGCCCAGCCCATCGTGCGGGCGCCCAGCTAGCCTCCCAACAAGAAAATCTCATTAAATGCATCTGCCCTCGTCCTGTCAATGTGTTATGCACCTGGTTGGCCTTGTAGAACCATACATGAGTGAGTTGTTTAGAAAGACAAGAACGCCAATGAAAAAAATTGCGGTGAAAGGGTTTATAAGGGAGGATATTTAAACACCACTAACGTGATACCTGGGGTGGAGCGAAATATATATGCAGTGTGTGCCGGTGTTTCCCACAATAAAATCTTTACTTTCTACTGATTAACTCGCCATCGGTCCAGTGACGCACCACCACTTTGCAGATATGTTTCAAGAAGTGTTTCAAACAGGTGAATCTACGTAGAAATGCAAGTTCGTCACAGGTTTTAGATATGAAACTTGAGCGCCTTTCTAAATTTCGCCTATAGGATACCAACACTGCTGCCAAGACAAACATGTTTTACGTAGTATAAACGACAAACCTTTAACTCGTAATATGTATAGTACGGACGAGACTTCTGCTCGCCACCGGTACAGTAACACACCATCACTTAGAGGACATGTTTCAAGAAGCGGTGTTTCAAATAGATCACATCACCGCAGAGGTCGATGCACGTTTGTCTCTGGTTTTAGAGAAGAAACATGGGCGTCGTGGTAAATTACGTCGGGGACTCTGACATCGCTGCCTAGCCAAACAGTGTTTTAATCGTAACGATGAACCTTCAACTCATATGCATAGTATGCATGAACCGATGGAGAACAGTGGAATTTACTCCACTCTCTTGCCGCACACTCGTTTATGATGGACCGTGATGGCGATATGTGCAGCCTTTCGGATCCCGGCTGCGGCGGCTGCATTTCCGATGGAGGCGGAAATGTTGTAGGCCCGTGTACTCAGATTTGGGTGCACGTTAAAGAACCCCAGGTGGTCTAAATTTCCGGAGCCCTCCACTACGGCGTCTCTCATAATCATATGGTGGTTTTGGGACGTTAAACGCCATATATCATTATCATGTGCAGTCTACAAGCCAAAACCTTAAGATTTTAACTTGTCCTACACCTGCTGCCTACGTCACATTTCAAAGCCCTCATAAACACCACTTGACTCGTCCTCTCATTCATTGTGGGCAAGGCTCTCATTAGGGAAGCCTAAACGTCCTTTTTTGTATTCGTTTTCATGGTCAGTGTCCTCTTAATTTTTATGGTGTTACTGACCAGACGGACTTCCGTCAAAACCTCGACGTGAGACTCAAAAAATATATATATTCGGATCTAGTGTTTCGCAAACGTAGAGAATGACAGACGAGCATAGCTGAGATCCGGCCTTCGTCACAGAATGGTAATCTGGTAATCCCTGACCCCGCTGGAGGCCGGACCCAGCCGTAACAGTTCTTCTCTTTGTACATAGCATTTCAATGCATTTTCCTTCCTGCTGCGATAATGTGGAGTGAGAGAGATCGGTAGTATTATATATATATATATATATATATATATATATATATATATATATATATATATATATATATATATATATATATATATATATATATATATATATATATATATATACATGGGAAGAGTGGTGTATACCTAAGGGCTCGTTTCTCCGTGTTTTAACACAATGTTAATGAGATCTAACAGACCATAATGTCAAGGAAAGTATAGAAGAAGTTATTGGGCCAATTGTAATGTAAATGTGAAGAAAGAAAAGTGGGTGAAAAGCTAACTTGCCGTGAGCAGGAACCGAACCTGTGACCTTCGAATAACGCGTTCGATGCTCTACCACTCAGCTACCACGGCGGCTATCCCCCCAGCCACTTTATTGGGTATATATGTGAATTCAAACGTGGGAGTGTCAGTCAGTCAGCACTAGTAGCGGAGTATGCAGTTGAGGAAGACCATGAGCGTGCGAAATGCAAGTGAGCAGGTGAGCCTGCCGATGTCAGAATGCATACGGTATGGCCTGCAGCAAACCTTTTACACGTGTTCGACCCGCCTTCGGCTTAAATAATTGGTATCGTTATTCTACACAACCTCTATTCTGTATACGATTACCGAACGGCAGATGCATGCGGTCGATTCCAGGCACGAGGTGCTCTCTTTAGGGCAGTGCAGAAAATAGCACCTCCTCCTCTTCGCAAGCCTCTTCTTTCCCTCATTTGGGCTATTAAAGTTACGCGGTATAAGATCGAACCGATTCGTGGCCGCTCCTTCCTCGCTTATCTTACGTGCAATTGAGATGGCTCGGTGCGAGTCGTTGCGCACTGCCTCCATGCAGGAAGCTTTGCCGGAAGCGATCCTCTTGTTTCTTCGGAGTCTTCGCAGCCACTGTACTCGCTGTAGACTTCCTAGAGCAAGTGTGTTTGTCAAGCAAGCTTCGCGCTGCGTCCCGCGCCGGCGCTTCCCAAAGAAGCACACACGCACACTTCCAAGACACACACGGAAAATGCGCCCAGGAAAGACGGTAATACGCTTCTCAGACCAGCTGCAGACGAAAAGGGGCTTCTCGTGGCGCCTTGGCACTCGATTGTCATGGCAAGAAAGCGCGCGCCGTGGTCATGGCCTTACGCGGCTGCCAATGTGAAGACGGTGCCTGAGGCATAATGCACCACTCAAGTTGCGTTCTCTTCGGTGCCATAAAAGGTACCACGTGATATTGAATTAAAAAAAAATCAATCAGTTCCGAGATGTGAATAGCCGGATAGTGAATCTGAAAGCGCGCGAGTGCATGTCATTGGCTAGCGAGATCACGCGCTTCTTCTTCTTCTTCTTCTTCTTCTTCTTCTTCTTCTTCTTCTTCTTCTTCTTCTTCTTCTTCTTCTTCTTCTTCTTCTTCTTCTTCTTCTTCTTCTTCTTCTTCTTCTTCTTCTTCTTCTTCTTCTTCTTCTTCTTCTTCTTCTTCTTCTTCTTCTTCTTCTTCTTCTTCTTCTTCTTCTTCTTCTTCTTACTCAGTATCATTACAATCATCACCATTCAGCATCATCACTATCATAATGTTGTGCATAGGCATCACGCAGGTCACGTGAATTGCGCGACTACTACCTTTACTCTCTCTCTTTCTCTGCAAATAGTGAGTGATCGGAAAATAATTCTATGAAGTTATAAAATAAGCAACAACACGGGAAGTTCACCTGAACGGCTGTGAAGTACAGAAAAAAAGAATCTTTCCACGCCACGCGCTATACACTCTGTCATTGCGAAGCACATTGCGAAGCACATTGCGCAGCTATAACTCTTCAAACATCGTGTGCACTCCTGCTAACTACTATTACTATTGCTACTACGATGGTGCAGACGGCACAACGTAGACTGAAACAGCCTCGCTGTGGAAAGAAAGGTGTCAGACTCCAGCATTTCTATCACTCCTCCGACTCTATGACTGAGAACAGCAGTCAAGAGCTCTCGGCACATCGGTATGTTTGAAAAAGTCTATAAGAATACGTAGTCGTTTTCATACATGTCAGTCAGCAAAAGCCATAATCTTGCCCGCGTTGTGTCATTGTCACGGCTTCATCGTCGCATCGCAACCCCGCAGTCCTCGCTCTACGGTTACAGTGTCCTGCCATTGGCTTGTTACTTATGTCCGTGTTTTATGTCTCGCATCTGCACGAAGTATGAGATGAATAGACTAGTGGGGGGTGAATCATTTCCGTCCTGAGATATTCCGAGTTCGCAGTAAAACAGTGCTGGCAAGAGAAAAGTCGTGCGTTCCACAGAGTCAGTATAATTGCGCGATTCATTCGATGCTGACAGCTCAAGCGCGGACTTTGGGACCAGCGATGAACCTTTACTCTCTCTCTCTTTTTCTCTACAAGTAGTGAGTGTCCGTAAAATAATTCTAAGAAGTAATAAAATAAGGAACAACACGGGCAGTTCGCCTGAATGGCTGTGAAGTACAAAAAAAAAAGAATCTCCCCACGCCACGGGCTATACACGCTGTCATTGCGAAGCACATTGCGCAGCTATAACTCGTCCAACATCGTGTGCACACATGTCTACAAGCCGGTGATGGACTGTAATAATCACTGCTCCACCATATGTAAAACACCAAATTTCGAGACCATCATTTCCACAGCACTGTCAAACACACATTAGTGCACAAAAGTGGTAAAACAAATTAGGATGTCATATGTCGAAAAATTGGATAACTAAACGTAAAAACTTTAAGCCGTATCATCACAGCTTTTCGACGCATTCAAAGAAAACCAGGATAGTATACTGTAGGTGCACTAGCAGAGGATGGAGACACCGCAAATGAGTAACGTTGAATGTGCAGGCTCTTATTGAGAATTAACAACAGACAAAGAATCTTCATCTGAGGCTTACGCCACCATGCGTTTGTATACACAGTTTAATTTTTTTCTTCTTTGTTCACTTGTTTCGTGATCAGAGGCTTCCACGTTCAAATGGAGCCGCAGTTAGCGGCTTCGTTTCCAATCGTGGCGTTTTAGGGTGCGTTAGCGATGCGATCCAGTCAGCACGTTCACGAGTGCCTCGAGCGTATAGTGCCTGCTTTTAGGAAGCGCCGATCGGCAATACGTGCCGCCGACTTGGCCAGGTGAGTGCTAGCTATCAAAGCTTTGCCTAACGTAACAGTAGGCACATGGGAGGGCAACGTCTTTTTTTGCCGTTTCGAAAGCGGCGACACTTTCGCCCTTTCGTTTTCCGCCTGTCAGCCTCTCTGCAGGAAAGAGTTGGAGGAAAAGCGGTTGAACGGGACCGAATGTGCTGCAGCTGCGGGTATCGTCGGCGCCAACAGTCAACGTAGTCGCGCAGTGGAATAGCACTCACTCTACAGTTAAACGGTTAGTGCGACAATCCCATCTGCGAAGTTGCGAAGTCGCAGCCGGCTTCTCCAACAGGCTTAGAGCGTCGGAGGCGGTGGTTAAGAGCAGGTGAGTGCAAGAATGGTACGCAAGGGGTCGACTAATCAGTCGGTATCACTTTATCCATTTCTTTCGTACAGCAAGCTCCTCGTTTTATACGTTCCAGTTTCGTTCGATTTAGCGTTAGACTGTGCGACGTTTAAGTAAAGTCGAATCGTATACGACACCCCGAATATAGCGCCTTTCCGATGCAGTCTATAGGTTAAAAAAGTATTAACGAGGTTCTACTGTGGTATGTATATATAGCGAATCGGATTTACCATGCGCGATCTATTTAGTGTGTTTCGTAGTTCCCTCCATTTCTGGAACCCGCGGTCGGTGGGTCTCACCGAGACGGTGTCGTGAACATATATCGGAAGGGCGCCCAAAAGCGGGAACTTGAGTTCGCCGAAATTATTTTACAGCAGATTATCGACGCTTCTTTTGCATATAAGCACACTTAAGTGCCACACATCACCTCACTGTCGTGTAGTTTGCCGCAGTGTGTATACAAGCAAGGCCTTCGCTGTACCGTAAAATCAAGAAAGCACACGCTAGGCAAGGGAGGATCTGTAAGTCACCTTCTCGTCGTTTCAGATGATATTTAAGGCTAGTGACGCCCAACAGTAGATGAACGGGCTTAACTTTTCTGTTAGGCTATATGTGTTGTTCAACCAACTTCTCGTACGTTTTTGTATATTGCTGCAAAACGAAAGTAATGTGACAAAACTGTTCTCTTCATTTTTTTTAATTATCTAAAATCATCGATATGCAAAATAATCGACTCTCCGCACAAGCAATGAATTAAAACTTCGGACTCGGCTGTTCACTTGGGGGCTTGCTTTGCAGCAGAGTGTGCTCATTCATTGATTCTTCTGCAAGAAACATTACCAGAAGGAAGCGATTGCTAATAAATTTGGCACAGCTGAAAAACACTACTGACATTTCCGCGTCTACCAGCAATCTCTTTCTTATAGTCATCGCCAGTGCTGTTCTGGCTGGTTATGGCTCTGGGACGCGCGCGTTTGACCCCCGACCACGGCGGCCACATTGAAAACATCCGTGTCTAGGTTTAGGTGCATGCTATATAAAAAACCTCTGCGCGCGTGTGTGTGTGTGTGTGCGTGCGTGCGTGTGTGTGTGTGCGTGCGTGCGTACGTGCGTGCGTGCGTGTGTGTGCGCGTGCGTGTGTGTGTGTGCGTGCGTGCGTGCGTGCGTGTGTGCGTGCGTGCGTGTGTGTGCGCGTGCGTGCGTGTGTGTGCGTGCGTGCGTGTGTGCGTGCGTGCGTGTGTGTTTGTGTGTGCGCGTGCGTGCGTGTGCGTGCGTGTGCGTGTGCGTGTGTGTGTGTGTGTGTGTGTGTGTGTGTGTGTGTGTGTGTGTGTGTGTGTGTGTGAGAGAGAGGATAAGTTTCATATGGAATAGAATTTTGCCCCTTCAATTTAGCTACATTCCGCAACCGTGCATCTCATTTCGCCGATCGCACGCAGGAAACATGGCCGGAGACTTCGTGCCCGGCCGACCCCTGCGTAATTTGGCAATGGCCGTGGCCGGTGTGTTCGGCTATGCGGTACTACTGCTGATGCAGTACTGCGTACTGGCGCACACGACGACCAAGTACTGGCTGCGCAAGTGGCGCCATCGGATTGAGCACGCGTCAATCAATGCGGCCACTGGCTATGCCTCCGTGGTGGTCATCAAGGAGCGGACACACGAGCTCGCCGACAAGCCCCGTAACGTGGGCCTGCTGTTCCTCGAAGAGAAGATCGACCTCGAGGTCGTGGCCAAGGTCATACTTTGGTGCCTGGCGCTGGGGGTCGAGTCGGTATCTGCCTACGATATTAACGGTGAGGTAACATCGTAAGAATGCCCATGTTCCTCTATTAGACACGAAGGGTGAGGGGGGGGGGTTCTCTGCAATGCCCTTCCCCTTCCTTGCTTTGACGAGTCCGAAAGAAAAAGAGCTGACAAAGAAGCGATTACGTGCCATGACCCCCCCCCCCCCCTTGCGGTTTTCACAGTTAGAGGGGGAAAGCAAAGGGTTCATTTAATGCAACATCAGGGGTCAGCTAAGAAAAAGTGCGTATAGCCATAACTTTGAGCATTAAAATTGACGTGGAATATTCTACTGAGTAAAGGTACGGGGCAGAATTGGTGCCCCAACTTAGGTGACCAAGAGTGGAGGTGGCCACTCCCTGTGCAAGCCTATATGTCAGTGATTGTAATTTCCATTACCTTAAGTTAATTCCAAGGGAATCTAATCGCGGGCTGTTTGAACAAAATATCAGCAAACATGGCCATTTGAAAGAAGGCATGTTTAGAGAAACATATCGGAACTGATCTCCAGAATGACTGAAATGTGGACGACGATTCTGAAATATAGTTTTCGGTCCACGCTTATATTTGACACATGGTAACAACTCGGGGTACCTTACGAAAGAAAAAAAAGAAGTGCTCTAGAAGAGCCACGTTTGTGTATTTCGTGAACATACTTATAAAAAATATTAAATGGAAAGAAGTAAATCATGTGCGGACCGGGCCGCAATAGCGGGAAGTCCGCGGGCTGTGCGTTTGAAACTTTTGCCCTATAGAATGCAGCTATCATGTTCACCTGGCTGTGTTCAGTTTTCCTATGTATGAACTGAGCACAGAAGAGTGTCCGAGTAACCATTATAGATCTTCTTTATAGTGATTTGATTGAGTTGCATGTGTTGAGGATGACGACATTTATGCGAGTCAGATTGTGCATTGTTTTTCTTATAACTGCCCTTACCGCGACATTGCATATCTTGTTTAGTACGTGCACATCGTGTCAACGTTGTAACAGTCAAAATGGCTAAAGTTGTGAGCAAAGACATAAACAAAACAAGTTCGCACTTTGTGCACATCCTTGATGTGACGAGTATTTGTAGGCAACGATATACATACAAAAATGGAGTGCTCGAATCTGAGGCTTACGTCAGGGAACTTCTACATGAACTCCGCAAGTTCAAGGCTTCGTTAACGAACTGCATGCACCCAAAAGGAAGTAATTTATATGACGATTAAACCACCTAAAATATTTGCAAGAACGAATAATTAGAGTTTTCCTTGCTTGAGCCTCGTCGGTTTTGATTAATATGAATTAAATGAATGCGCAGGATGCACCTAATTGTATACAGAAAAAGGGGTGGAGGGAAGTCAGTATCGATTACGTCTCTGCTACATGCCCGTCGGATAATCGATACATGACGTACGCACAATCCGTAATTTAGAATCATGTACTTGCAGTGTTTGCCTTCTTCAAACTTTCTGCATCCCGTGCACATATTAGTACGATGACATCATCTCTTTCGCCAAGTGATTCACAGGCAACGCGTTCATGTTTCAGGAACTCTGCTGAACAAGTTGGACACGCTCAAGGAAATTACGAGGAACACGCTCGTAGACGCCCGCTACAAGAAGAGCGCCGTCGAGTTTGTTGTGGCCAGACCTGAAGGTTTGATCGTCGGAGTCAATCTTAACCTCAATCTTTTCGCACCCTGTATTGAACAGTATTGAGTTTTGACTTCAGATTGCATGTCACGAGTCGTTATACGTCAGATATGAGGCATGCACGCTTGAAACAGATATATCTTGCTTGACGCCGGTTCAGAGAAAGTTTGTATGCCATGATGATCCTTCCCTGCAGGATTACGCCTAGCACATAGGGAGCTGTGAAATGAAGTCTGAGAAAAACGCACGCAAACTTGGTGGTCTTTGATTATGCCTCTTCCTCTCCGGAACACATTTATTTTCTTTTCCTTTGGTCGATATATGCTATAGTTGCTAGGCGTGTCTGCATGTATGCCATGTGCGAGTATATATATTCAGCAGGCAAGCAGTTTCTATAACATCACCAACATTAGTGGAGTTCATCATAAGCAGTGCAAGTTCTCTCGAATGATACATCTGGGTGAAACTTAGTAGATTAATTATGGTAAAACATGATGCCACTGCCGCTATGTGTCATTCGGCACAACGCGTTACGCTTATTGAGAGGCGGCTGGAATCAAAGTCGGGGGGAGTAAGTATGAGAAGTCCTTGGAGATCCCTCGCCCAATCAACGTATTCTAGTATAGGAGTGCTATAGTCGAAGTGTGAACAGCAAGTACTCTGTCAAAGCGGGTGCGTTTCTGCAGGCGAGGACGATGGGCGCAGGGAAGGCGGCCAGAAAGAGTTCACGGGCGTCCCCGTGTATGTGGTGACGCCGATCGACGGCAAAGGCGGCCTTGTTGCGGCGTTCAGGAAAATTTGCGACGACTGCAAGCTCGGCATCATCGACGAGAAGGACATCACGCAGGAGATGCTAGACAAATACATCAAAGGCAAGACCACTTCTTCCTTCAACAAATGTCTCCCTTCCTCTACAAATACACTTCTTGCATGAAAGAACTACTAAAAGAGAAGGTCTAGCTCGATAAACCAAAACAATTAGAAACGAGAGTATTCACACTTTTTTCTAGTGAAAGGTAGTCGGGGTGATTCACAATTTTTTTCTGTTTTAATACCCTAATAATTTATCGGGCTTCAAGTGCTGAACCACGATATTATGGCAATTCATGAGGCAGGGGCGTAGTCAGAAAATTTTTCGGGGGAAAGTGGGTTCTGCTATGTTTGTGCTTGCGTTTGTATGTATACGTGAATGCAAAATTTAAAAATTTTAGGGGGGAGGAGTCTGCACCCCAATTTCCCGTCTTCGCTTCCCCGAGAGCAGCCACGCCCTTCAATACTCATCTCTTAATATGTCACTTCGACGTCACATCAATGTCACTTCATCCTACATCATGCTTGTCCGAAGTAGCATTCTACAGGTGTGTTGCCAATGAACCCACTTTCATAAACATTCAAAAATTGATCCTACCCTCATTTACCGCCTACTTCTCAGCACGTCTTGCTACTTTTTGTATTAAAATAGCACTAAAGTTGGACTAGTTGGTACGGCTAGTAGTTGGCTAGTCTTTGACAGAGATTTTGTTGAAATGTAGATCCCAGGTAACTGGAGAAGTGACAGGAGCTTTCCATGGTAAACGAATGCATGCAACGTGCGTCGATGAGGCATCGATGTATCTCAAGGAAATAGAGTTCGCATATCTTCTCAGCAAATTGTGCCGTTAAGTGATACAACTTTTTATATTATATTTCAACACTTCTGCGCAATTATGATACGCTTCTTTTTTCATGATTTTTTTTATTGCTTCCACGTTCTTGTGTTCTTCAAATAAAACTGTCCGAATCGAGTCAACGCTCGTTTCTGTCCCTTCTGTCTTCCCTATTCGTCGATCTCGCGCTATAACCAAAAATGATTTTTCGTATCTCTTTTCCTATTTTCAACCTCCCTTTTTTTTTTGTTCTGCAGCCGAGTACAGCGGAATGCCGGAGCCGCAGCTAGCCATGCGTTTTGGAGGATGGGGCTCCGTTTTGGGCTACCCGGCGTGGCACATAAACTACAGCGAAATACTGTGAGTGATGCCACGTTGTCAAAGTTTCAGGCTGCTAAGCACCACGCTAAAGGAAAGATACGACGAACAAAATCTGCTGCACTAGTTACACGCACTGTTTTCAGGTAGAATAACGCCGCATCTTGGGGATTTAGCAGGTACTATATTTTATTTGACTGTATTTAGAGAACTAATTCTGTTATCGGGTTATCACCCAAGCGTATGAGAGCCCTTTACCCGAAATCTCGTGAAGGTTGTCGCGCTCCTGATAGCAGACGAGCTTAGCCGTACTGTACGTGCGACAAAAACAGTGTCCTCGTACGTTCTCCAATACACGTGAATGCCCCCAAATGCTCGTGTTTATGAAAAATATCGCACGATTTTGCACCATGAAGCCAAATTCGGCGACACAGATGGCTACTACAGATCCTTCCTTGTCATGTTCTATAGGTCAACCAGTGGATATGTTTAATTAACACATATGACAGTGTGTTTATTTTTTCTTCAAAGCTCGCTAAGACGTTGCGATATCAAGGAGGTCACCTAATGCTTGCGCAGAATTTTCATGTGATAGAATATTTAATACGCAAATACTTGCGGTTATTGTACAACGTTACTAATATTGTTTTGTTTTTTTGTCACAGTATTTACTGCCTTGCCACGACTATAGCCTATACATTGATGTACACACAACACCAAAAGTATACTGGACGTGAAACTTTAGAAAACCCATATTCCTGCTTTCTTATACTCTTACCGGTACTTACCTACGGAGCAGAAATCTCAAGGCTTACAAAGAGGATTCAACATTAATGGAGGATGACGCAGTAAGCGATAGAAAGAAAGACGACAGGTGTAAGCTTAATGGACTGCAGGAATATAGTGGGTCAGGGAACAAGCGGTTGTTAAGGGCATCGTAGTTGAAATCAAGAAAAGATATACATGAACCGAGAGCATGTGTGTTGCGTAGGCAGGATAACCGGCATAGGGTAACTTGCTGGATTTCTGGAGAAGGCAAACGCGCGAGGGGGGGACTGAAAGTTAGATAAAAAAAAATCACAGCATATGCACGGAGTGAATGATGGTGAGTGGGCGAAGCGTGCATCAGTCCGTCCGCGCTTCCGTCCATCCGTTCGTTGTTGCTTCCATCCTTCCGTGCGTCCGCCCTCCTTCCGTCCATCTGTCCGTCCATGCGTATGTCCCTGCGTTCGTCCATGCGTCCAGCCGTCCGTCCGCCCGTGAGTCCGTCTGTCCACGCGTCCATTCGTCCGTGAGTCCATCTGTCCACGCGTCCATCCGTCCGTCCATCTAGTGAACACTCCAAGTAGCGCCATCTAGCATCTTTTCCACGCGATCGTAGTCGCGCGATCGTCTCTCTTCTCCCACTGTGGCACATACGAGTCTATCTCCTGTAGAATATGTGCCACTGGCGGTTACGCACGACAACGGGGGGGGGGGGGGGGGGGACGCACAAGCCCCGCCATAAGGAGCTTCGCCCCTAAAAACAAGTTTGCAGGTACAACGTGGCAGCAGCAAGCATATGACCGGGTTGATTGGCGGCATATGAGACAGGCCTTTGTCCTGTAATGGGCGTAGTCAAGATGATCATGACGACGACGACGACGACGATGATGATGATGATGATGATGATGGTGGTGGTGGTGGTGGTGGTGGTGGTGGTGGTGGTGGTGGTGGTGGTGGTGGTGGTGGTGCTGCTGCTGCTGCTGCTGCTGGTAACGATGATGATGATGATGCTTTGTCTGGGAATGTCCTTCAGTGAAATGTATGGGTTTTTCACTCCAATACAGTCACCCTCGAGATTAAAAGCGGCATTTCAAAACAGAGCTATTTCCATTTGCAGTGGAGTTCACGTACCGCGAACCTTCGTTGCCGAGCGTACACACCTCTCAAAACTAAGCACTTTTATGTTTATTTTCTGATCTCGACGCAGGGACCTGGGTAGCCACAGAAACGTGCTGCTGTCCGAGTTCATCGAAATCTTGGAAAAGTACAACAAAATAGAGAAGCGTTTTGGCAAGTGAACGAGCATCCTCGCCTCTTGTAGCTACAGAGGCAACCAGCGACGTGTTCCGTCATGCTGCTTGTGTCGGTGACTCTGATGGCCAGCATGACGCAACCACTCCGGAGTGAAGTTCTCATACGGGTCCAGCTTACGGTTGTGGACGCACACACTGCAAAAGGAGCACTTAGATGCACCTGCATACCTATATCCACCATGCCATTGCAACTCATTTAACAAAACGTGGCGGCAATTGCTGCGGCTGGAAGCTGTGCATGACAGGAGATAATGAACGAACCGGCTGAACGTGAAGAGGTGGAAATTAATTAAACATTCAGAATAAAACATTCATCCACATGCAGCGGATAAACACACGACGTCTGTCATAGCAGCTGAGTCGCTATAGGACGTTGACTCCAATAAATGAAACCAAACCTTAATTAAACCTATTTCTGTTTACTTTATATTTTCACTGCAGGTTATTTCTTTCTACGCGTGCAGGTGCCTTCAGCATATCTCATGATCGTCCACCTTTGTCAGTGCGCAAAGTTTCTGCCACGGTTTGTTCAGACGCCCCTCCGTGGTGGTCTAGTGGCTAAGGTACTCGGCTGCTGACCCGCAGGTAGTGGGTTCGTATCCCGGCTGCGGCGGCTGCATTTCCGATGGAGGCGGAAATGTTGTAGGCCCGTGTACTCAGATTTGGGTGCACGTTAAAGAACCCAAGGTGGTCGAAATTTCCGGAGCCCTCCACTATACGGCGTCTCTCATAATCATATGGTGGTTTTGGGACGTTAAACCCCACATATCAATCAATCAATCAATTATTAAGACAGCTACCGCTGCGGGTCCCGAGCGTCGCGTATTGTGACATGGCGAAAATAAACGTTACCAAAATGGTGCATATTGCACAACTCACTTCTTGTGCCGCATCAAAAGAACAACGTCCCCACACCTCACCCAAATCGCGATGCGTCAGCGGAACACGTCGTAGAATGACGCACTACGAAGAACAACGCGCTCAGTTGAGTGATCGGTTGAACAGCCTCGACGGACGAACACTCGCAATTGGTAAGCTAAGTGACTGGATCATGCCACACCGGTAAAAGATGCGCAGTGATCATTCTTCGTGGTATGTTAATGAACACAAGTTTAGTGAACGGATTATAATAATCATTATTGATCCCGCCATAGTATTGTGTTATTAATTAACATATATAATAGTCCTGCTATACATGCTGTTTACGTGTCTTATAAAAAGCTGTTTACGGACTCTGTACGCGGTATAATATATATATATATATATATATATATATATATATATATATATATATATATATATTATATATATATATATATATATATATATATATACATATATTATATATATATATATATATATATATATTATATATATATAATATATATATATATATATATATATATATATATATATATATATATATATATATATATATATATATATATATATATAATATATATATATATATATATATATACATATATATATATATATATGACCAGCTTGTGTGTATTGGACTCGGGCTTACAAATCTGTTCATTATTCATGCGCCAGATATCGTGTAGGCATACATACATAGTGCTTGTGAGTATTTCTTCACTTTTCTGGTCATTTTATCCGATCCAGTTTTCTTTTTTTTTCTTTTTGTGTGCTTCTCTAATACTGATATCATGTCGATGGGATGACCGGCTCTAACGTAGCCTACCTCCCCATGTCTTTTCTTTTCATGTGTAAATAAATAAATAAATTGAATAATCAGCTTGCCTGTTTAACTCAATGTGTGGCTCGTACCCACAACCGGCGGCATTGGCTAACAAAGAGTCGCATGAGTCGAAAAAGTGAACACAAACACACAAAGGAGAAATCACCTTTCGTAAAAATAGAAGTAATGTCAAGAGACCTACAAAAATCAACTATGACACCGTCCGGAATCGAACAGATATATTTCTGATGTCTATTGCGCGAACATCCTCGGCGTGATGATAGAGGGCTATAGCGTTCGTATATGCTTTGCACTACTTCAATACGTTGTCTATTCTCGGAATGCAATATATATTTCTTATTGATACGAGCAGATATCTACGACATAATAACCGAAATTTGGTGTTCGTAGAATTTGCGCAACTTTGGTACGTTCGACATTTTCGAAATGTAGCAAGCGTACGCAAAAGGCGAACGTATTATGCGTGCATAGGCGAAAAATGCTAACGCTAACTACCTAAATGCCAACTTCCTGATATATGTATAGATGATCTTCCCAAAGACAATATCAGGCATGAAAAATTGGAATGCTATAAACGAACACGCCGCTCGACATGTTGCTCTCGTAAAGGGTTAACACTTTTCACGACTTCACACTTTTATATAGTTCTAGCTGCTTGCGTACACTGACGGCTTAAGCGATAAGTGCCGCAAGAACGGCAGTGATAGGTTCACGCAGTGCAAAGTTATTCAGCCTATAGCGATATCAAAATAGAATGAAATGGATGCTTACCCTCAACTCGAATTCAGCGGGCTCACCTTACCGTGTTTCCCTCGCCCTCTGACGTCGAAAGGCTGCCCAATGAAATGAACTGAAAGCCCTACCGTACAGGAAGCTCGCATGACAAATTGCATGTAAGTCCAGCGTATTAGGGATGCCGTTGCGACGGTAACAAACAATGTGGTACTTGAAGAGGGTATGACAGGTTCGAAACGATCCAGGTTCGAAACGATCCAGCTCGAGAACGCTTCCAAGGCTGTAATGTTTTGTAGCTTTACTCATCTTTCTTTTTGTAATGACGTATATCTATCAATGCTCTTACATTTGTTTCCTTTAGTTTCTTCAAATAACAGCGACCGGAGCGTCACCGGCACGTATCCTCTATAGCATATGGCGTTCGGCACATTCCTGTACCAGCTTTGCAGTTTTCAAGTTGAAAAAGTTGGAGGGCATCATTCTCTGTCACTTTGAGTGAAAAAATCATGCTATTGAAAAAATAAATTCAATAGTAATTCCAATTTCGATGAAAGGCCACGATCAGATTTAATCCAATCATATGGCGGCCACCTTTCGGCGTCATTTCCACTCGCAGCAGTTCTGGCGAGCGCAACTACGAGTTATACAGTCGGCACCGATGTTTTCAAGCGTTAGAGGGCCCCTTTAACGAACACAACGCATGAACACAAGGCGCTTTTTGTTTTGTCTTTTTATTATCTGTATACTATAGGTCGCGTCTTTCAGAGGCAGCATTATATATATATATATATATATATATATATATATATATATATATATATAATATATATATATATATATATATATATATATATATATATATATATAGATATATATATATATATATATATATATATATATATATATATATATTGTGTGTGTGTGTGTGTGTGTGTGTGTGTGTGTGTGTGTGTGTGTGTGTGTGTGTGTGTGTGAGGTTATGATGACAATCATCACCGATATAATTATCATTAAGATGTGCTCCCCATTTGGCGCAAATTCAGTGAGGCCAAAAGTCACGTTGTTTCGCGAGGAGTGGAGCATAACAATAAAGTTGTATGAATATGAGCTGATGTCTGTGCAACCCTCTTTTTCTAGTAAAGTTACTTGTATACGCCGCCCCTCTACCAACGGAGGTCTTTATGACGCAAGCTAAGCTGTTTGGTTGATTATTCTTCAGATACTTGGCACAGCCTACCCTGGGGCATCGGTCATAGATCGGACGGTTGCTTTTTTAGCAATTTAATTAGGTGTAAGACAATGTTTATAAATGTATACTTTTTATACGCGCTGTCGCATGAAATATTGCCATGACGCTTATATGAACCACGTGCAACTCGCACGACGTCAGTATATCTGATCGTTCATTAACGTCCTTTTATCAATCATCATCATCGTTATCCAGAGAAGTCCAATTCACCGGTCAAGCCCTTTCTACACTGGTGGAGAAATGTGCCATTTTCAAAAACAGGCACCATCTCCTTTGTGCTCAACAACAAGACGAGAGTTGTGCGAGACGAATGCCGCGTGACGTACTCGCTCGGCTGTCAATGGGAAGCTCTCGAAAGCAAAAAAAGAAAGGTGAGGCAGGAGGCTGAATAAGACGTTTCTTCTACCTCCTGGACATTCTGTGACCTTTTATTTAGTGTCATTTTTGCGCCTGTATTTGCTAAAGAAATTACGTGCCACCGTTTGATAAAGGCTCACTTTTTAGAACAGGCGTCGACCGGAAAGCTTCATCCCGGAATGCTTTTTGGAAGATATGCAACATGAAGATCAAAACTGTCAGTGCCGATTGCATATGTAACAGAGCTTTTCAATTCACTTATTACCAAGTCGCCCTTCAATTATCTACAATCGCTCGCCCCACAACAATATAAAACGATGCCCTTTGAAATGCATGGGTCAGCCCTGATTGTAGCTGGGAAGCGCACTGTAATGCTAAACGCTCAGGGCGGTATCGTTGGTATAGCAAACATTCACAAGAAAAGTGCTGTCTCCCAATGGGTCACTCTAGCAGCTGGACTAATAAGTACTACAACTGGGAGAGTGAGCGGAAAATGGCGCAACAACCGATATGTCTCTGTGGAGCTGTCAAGTTCAACTGCCCTATCTAAATAACTTGTACCACTTCATTCAATTTGAGTTCTCTTCTGGTACGACCAGGTAGGCAGCCAGACAACTTGTTACTTTTTTTAACTGACTTGGATGAACTGTATGTATCAAGACGACAAAATCCTGAGATATATATATATATATATATATATATATATATATATATATATATATATATACATATATATATATATATATATATATATATATATATATGTATATATGTCAGGACGCAAAGTTAAATATAGTAAAAAGTTGCCTGGCTGTATAGTGTAGTTATTTTGCACAATGAGCATCGATTATTTATCCGAGGGAATATATAAAAAGGTGCGTTGAACGCAAAGCTGGGCGGGTCAACAACCTTTATAGTGTTGTGTGACATATACTAGGTCAGCTGTGTCCCGCATGGAAAAGTTAATGGTGCGACTGTACCCTGCTGAAAACTGTGTCACTGAATCTTATTGATATCAACTTATTTCCCATAATAGCTTGTGAAAACGTTACTGAGACCCCTTCCCTCACGAAAAGGAAACCGCATGCAGGCGTAAGCCGGTGCTCCGTGCGATGTATTTTATTCGGATTACTTTTGGTTAACTTCTAATGAAACCGACAGACAATTAAGCTAAGGAAAGCACAGAAGGCATTGTTGGTGGTGTATTAGCTGCATTGTATAATGATTATCACTTAAAGTGAAAGAAATTACCGCGGACAAAAACTCGTCCTTTTTGCCGGTTAGATTCGAACCCACAACCTTCGAATTGCGTGTCCGATACTCAATCGTTTGAGCTACGAG